CCAATTACTTAAACTCATCTATTGCACCACACTTTTTAACAGACTTCAAAAAGGAGGCGGTACTCAATTCGACTGTACGTTTTTTTAAATGTGTGTTACCTTATAACTTTCTTCTTGATGACAACATGAACCAATTTAGATGATTCTTTTTTATTTGAAAGCTGGTGCTTCTCATGTGGTCCCATATAAATTTGATCAAGGTCTGACCAGTTTTTGAGTTATCCTTAATAATTTATATTGAAGTATGTTGTACATTTTTTTTTATTTTACCACTTGTTTTACTCCCGCGTTCAAATAGTAAAACATCTAAATATTAAAAGCTACTAGGGATCCGTCGCAGCTTTGCACGGGTGATTTCTACTCGAAAACAGCGCCACCTACCAGGTCCAATCGTGAATTGTCTTCTTATCAGGTGAACTGTTACTTCGCTCGGCATTTCAAATTTATTTATAAAAGCTGTACAACAACCTAGACCCACACAAAAAAAAATTTAGCGAGACTAATGGACAGCAATTGATTTTTATATAGACATGTAGCATGTAATGTCAATATGACTTATTACGCAAGGATAGCTCTTATTTTGTCCTCCAAGAATTCTATTAGTGCCTTAATGACGTAGTTCTCAACGTGAGTATGCTGTTGTTGGAAAAGAAAAAGTTCAATTTTGTGAGTTGCTAATTAATAAATAAAAAAAATAAATATATAATTAACTATTAAGTACTCCATCAAAAAACTGTGGAAATATAAAATAATACGTGACTTTTAATCAATATTAATCAAATATATGTGGAATAAATCTAATTTTACGGATTTTATCGCCTTTAATTTTAACTTTATTAACTCCCGACATTAAAGTGGCCGAAACGTACGGAATTAAAAAAAAAGTTAAAATTAAACGCGATAAAATCCGAGTTAATCCAAACTATTTGTATTCCAGATGTATTTGCGTAAATATGCGAAATCAATAAATATATTAAGTCTATATTCTGTTATAATAATATAATCCAAAATTTTAAGACTTAAGCTAACTGGTTCCGTGGTGTAGTGGTTATCACATCTGCTTTACACGCAGAAGGTCGCCAGTTCGATCCTGGCCGGAATCATTAATTTTATTATTTTTATCACAAATATATTTGTCTTTTTGATAATTCTCCTATGAAGTTTTTTCCGTGTTCTGTTTTTCACATCACCAAGCATTCACTTAATTTAAAAAAATGGTACTTAAGTATTTTGCTTATATAAAAAATTGATAAATTTTACTAGTTGGCAACACTTGTTGACTGCACAATATATATAGAAATATAGGTACATATGGTTTAAATTTTTTAATTTAGCAAATTTACATATGTGTGTTTTTTTTTTTTATATTTTAAATAGCTAAAAATGTATTGGTGTTAATTGTACATAGTACATACCTATTTATTTATTTTTCGTCATAAATAAGTTTTTTTTTTTACTTCACGAAACTATAGTACCTACCCAAACAGACTCAGGCAGATAGGAGTCTTACCATCTAGACATCCTTTTCGTTAACATCTTTCTTGTTCCACTGCTGAACAGATAGTTCTTTTCAAGACTTTTTCAATTGGCATAAGGATGGATGCCCCATCCATTAATTACATGAGGTAATCTCAAGCCAAATCTCACCCAATCTCATGTGGGGGAGAGGGAGGGTCTCGGCAAATATCACATAATTTTTGTAGCAAGATGTAGTGAAAAGTTGAGTATATCTAAACCCTACAAAATAATATTTATCACGGTTAGCTACTCCACCGTCCACGGTGACTACAGTCCCCAAAAACAATTATCGCCTCACCTGTCTAGTTACCAAACGACATCTTTCGGTTTAAACGTGGACAGCGCAAAAGATAGCTGTTATTAATACAGTAAAAAATTATAGATGGTGCTATATGAAATTTGTCATCTGTGAAAGTGAATTTTATTGGTATAATAGTAACAAAATATTTAGAAAAAAAGTTAAAATTAAATTTCGCCATTTTTGTTTGTGGAATGTTGTTAACATGTGAGAAATTTGATCAAAAATGTGATAACTTTTCTGTTTTTATACGTTATTTCTAATGTTATTGTACATCAAACTAATTGTGAAGATATTTTCTTTAGTAAATATGTATCACTACGACAATTCCAAAAGTTTACATATAATAATTTAGCTCTAAATTTTAATCACTATACGCGATCATCATTTAATGATTAATGTTGTTATTGATTATATAATCTATTCTAATCAGTTTTTGTGTTAAATGAATGCTAAATATAAAAGAATGATTCACTATTAACACGTTGATAGCAATTTATAAACAAAATATCTGTTGAGATGTGTCTAGAAATTATTAAAAACTTTTTTATTTATTTATTTACTTATTTATTCATATTTATATTGGGTAAACATTATATACTTGTGTATATTGAGTATATAAGATATTATTGATATTGGTGTCATTTTAAAGGAAATATCATGTACTATTATAATATAAAATAATTGTCTCCAGTAAGTGTTATATTTTTCTTGTAAAATTCGAAATAAAAAATAAATATGATTTTTTTAATATACTCATTTTTAAGCTTTATTTTCAGCCTTTATTTTTAATTTGACTAATTTTCTTTTAACAAAATTAAATTTTGAATTCTTTGAGTCTTTTGAGAATATTTTTTATTTGAATGTAGCTAAAGTAGTTTTTCAGTAGTAATGGATTTTGTGAAGACAGTTTCGCACGGTCGTAAAAAATAGTGACATTTAATGTGCGGAAAGGTCAAGAGAGAATCACTCACACAGGGTGGATGGTTAAGGGGTTATGCAAACTCCACAAATTATATACCTAAAATAATTAAGCAAAATATGTTTTTTTTTTCAAATAAACTCAACTTAATCATGCACAGGTATCACAATGTAAATTACACTAAAAATACAGATTTTGAAAGATCTCACGTGATATTTGTAAGGGTGAGGGAAGAACAATTGGCAAAAACCACCTCATATGTAATTAATGGATGTCCCCCAAGTTGAGAAAACTGTTCAGAGTAATTATTTTGAACTTTGTAGGTTAGATCATTTCTGCACTACAAGGTCCTAAATATTTCTTATAAAACATTAAATCCAGCTAAATTAAGATTTTCATAATTAACATTTGTTTATTTTTATAATAGACAATTTTCTTTGTCTATTATAAGAATAAACAAATCAAACACACTTACTAAAATTTTGTAAAACAATCTGACATAAACTCTTTTTGCTGCCATTCATAGAAGTGACAATAGAAATAACAGCCTAAAAATTTGTGAGTTGTTCTATTAGTAATGGTTCAATATCAGGAATTGTACATTTCATGTTATTTAACAATTACTAATAGAACTTTTAATATAATTGTACAAAGTTAGAAATACATCTACCTCTTATTTGAATTGGAGCATTTGCTTTATCATCAGACAATGAGGATACAGAAAATTGTCTACCAGTTTCACATGGTCCATATTTATTGTAATCTCCATTATTTTGTGTACAATTCTTTCATTTGTTGTGGAAAAACAAAATCTTTTTTGAAAATGTAAGCAATAACTAAATGGCTTATTTTCAAAATATTTATACATAATTCGAAGAAAAGAATTTGGTTGTTGCAATTTATACAAATAGCTAATCAATGTGTTTTATAAAAAAATCAATAGATTTAATACTTAGATGATCTAAGACTAAATGCATATATAATAACATTGGTTATAATGACATTGAAGAGACTATCCCAACTAAGGATTCTGTCAATCATCTGCCTACCCAATTACATCCTGCTTCCAGTAAATTATCAATATTTGCTGTCTTTAGTGTATACTCCCTTTGTAAATGTTTTGTTTGATTTTACTTGTACTAGTAATATTAAGCTGTAAAATTACTAATCAATTTAAAAATGTGACATCTTTTGTTGTAGATTGTGAATCCACTCTAAAATTGAGAAGTCTTAATATAATAATTATTTACTTGTCACTCTCAAGATTGATTTGAAACAAGCAGAATTCTATCAAGAGAAGCTACAAATTAAAAGAAGAAGAAGGTTGCTATTATCCAATAATTGTCATATGATATAAAAAAAATTCGGCTATGTTTACCTCCTTTCACAAAATATGCATATCTGAGAAATTAAAAAGCAATTTTGAGGACATGTAAAGTCTATTATCATTGGGGTAAAGTAATGGATTCTCCTTTACCAAAAATTTCTCTCAGAAATAAGAGGAGGCTGTCCATGGGACAAATAATGGCTGATACTTTTGTTTACCTTCTTTCAAGCTATAACAATAGGTTACAATATTTTAAAATAAATGATGAAAAAAAAGCTAGTAATCGAGGAAAAATAAATGTTTTCTTGCTCTCAACGACAAATTAAAGCCAAAATGATATCTTCCATTGTATGTATTTAAACTCACAAATTAAATTTACCATAATGATATAAAATAGTGTTTAAGGTAATGTACTTTTTATCTTCAGATAAGCTATCACATTCAGCCCATTAGTTTGTTATCAAGCTAATCATAGATAATATAGTTTATGACAAAATATATATATTATATAAAAGAAAACTTTAATTAATTTTAATTTAGTTCAATATGTTCTTTTTAAAAATGCTTTTTATTGTAATTATTGAAGATACCACTATCGGCATAATCGATGGAATATACAGATATATATTAATAATAATACAGCATAATAATTTATGCTCATTGCTCACGAACAGATGACATATCATGCATCCTATGATATCAGTGCTAATTCATTAAAAATAATGACTCACCCATCAGAATCGGACTGTTTTGAATATTTGTACCGGTATGACAACAACTCTTAACTCTTTAACATCTGTTAGCCATCCAAAATACAAAACACAATATTTTAGTACAACTACTAACGATACTTGGATTAATATATAACATGACAATATCAATACACTAAATTAAATGTTATTATAATTTCTTACAAATGACAAAAAACTACTTGCCTTGTCCAAACATTTCAGTTCCTCCGTAGGATATACTGTTTTCTCGCATCTTGCGCAAGTTTTATTCATTGTGATAAAATTAATACACAATCACAATATGAAACAAGACACAAATAAACACAGCAACTGAATTTTATCACAATTCACAGTATTGAATTCGCTTACTATTAGAAAAACACTCCCGAGCACAATTTTCGTAGCACTCCCCAACGCGCATGCCAAAAAATGACAAATGGCGGCCGAAGATGTTGCTAGTATATTAGTAGACAAGTCGTACTTATAGTTGATAGTACAAAATAGTACCAACTTGGTACTATTTAGTAATTTTTCCCGTAAAGACGTAAAGTGAACCCAGAGATTTTTAATAAAAAAGTGAATTGTAGTGGCGGCCAAATAATTTTGATAATGTGGTTATCAACTTTCTGCCCTTATCCCAAGTTTGGAGTCAGCATAGTATGTTTTGCTACACTATTCTCTTCTATCAGCATCATCACTCATTCTTTCTTTTCTGACGCATATCATCCCACTCCAACAACAACAGTCCATCCAACGTTTTAGACTTTCATCATTCGCATTTGAGCCACATGTACTGTTCCTTAATCCGTCTCGTAGCCCAAACTACTATGGTTATAACGTATACTAAACTACAATACGTCAGGTTTTATATGATCGTTTTAAAGATTTTTCCCATTCAGTTTGATCGGAAACCGCGGATTACAAGTTGTTTCAGTGACTTGTCGCCATTTTATCCATCCCGCACTGATTCTAATCCTTATGTCTCGCCCTATCTCGTCATCATTGCGTGTCAATAAATCGAAGTACGGAAACTTGGAGCAGAACAGTTTTAGTAATAAAAGCAATAGAAAATAAATTTTAGTGATTACCAAAGTCGGAGAATAGGTGTTCGGATTTTGTACTGTTTTGATTTGCCCGAGTCTCTCATATCTCTTCTGCTGTTTTGCCTATATTTCAGTGAATTCTTCCTAACAATAACAATGCTTATAGCGAAAAGACACACCGGAATGCCTCCTGTTACCAGGAAGAACAAAAAGGGGCTTAAAGCTTATTCATGGTGCAAGCCCCACACAGTGATACTGAAAGGTTATTCCAGGCGCGCTATGTAAACCTAAACCTGAAAATACATGGGGGCTCAGTTTTAGATTGCACGTATAAGCTGAACATACTTCCATACCAAAAAACCCCTGACAGCAATGCTACTCAATGGCAAAAATCTTCATCATCATCAATCTTGTCAAATTCAAAACTAGACATAAGACTCGTAAGAACACTTGGCTATCATAGTTTTGAATGATTTAGTTAGGGGCCAGCGCTGGTCGACTTCATGGAGAAAGAGGACCCTTTATGATGAACTTTTTCATTCAGAAGCGGCCCCACAGGAAGTAGACTTCCGAGGTCGAGCTCCGACAGTTGGACAAAAAATGAGATTGACTTTGATAGACGACAACTGTTCAGTGATGTCTCAGTGATCGCGAGGGTGAAAACCGGCAGCGATCACCGAATGGTGAGAGGCACACTGAACCTAAACGTTAAGTTGGAGAGGTCTCGTCTAATGAAGTCAACGCTTCGTCCCCTCGTGCTCTGTTCCAAAGTCCCGAAACCTTTCAGCTCGAATTACAAAACCGTTTTCAGTGCCTAGAAGACTGCAATGAAGTGGACGATATGAATGACAAGCTCGTGGAAACTGTCCATGCAGTTGGAACTAAGTTCTGCAAGACCCGTCGCTGAAGAACACAAAAACTCTCCGATCACACTCTTAATCTAATGGCTGTTAGACGGGATATGAAGCTGCAGTCTTCAGTAGATTTAGCAGCATACAGGCAACTGAACCCACAGGTCTCCAAATGCATGCGGCGGGACTTACGCAACTTTAATACTGCTTGTATTGAAGAAGTGATCGAGCGGAACCAGGGCTCCAAAGTCTTTGCTAGAGATCTGTCTGCCAGAAAGAGCCAACTGTCGAAGCTGAAGACCGAGTGTGGCAGCGTCGTTTCCGGGATACCTGAGATTTTGAGTAAGATTGAGAGGTTCTATGGGCAGCTGTACACATCATCGTTGAAGTCACACGCAAGTGTAAGTAACGATCCAAGAGCGAGTCTTATCCGACACTATTCCGATGATATCCCGGACGTCAGTCTGAGCGAGATTAGAATGGCTCTCCAGCACCTTTCCCTTCTGAGCCGCGTCTACGTGCTGTTTTCGAGAGTCATTACGAATCGTCTCACGCGCAGACTTCACAACTTCCAGCCTCCCACACAAGCCGGTTTCCTAGTACCATAGATCACATACACACCCTTCGGCAAATTGTACAGAAGACAGGAGTATGTATACTCTGCCACTTTGCCTTGCGTATATGAACTATGAGAAAACCTTTGATTCCGTCGAAATTTGGGCGGTGCTGCAGTCCCTTCAGCGGTGCCATGTTGACTGTCGGTATACCGAAGTGCTGAAGTGTTTGTACAATAGGACTACGATGGCTATCCGAGTACAGAATCAGAGTACAAAACCTATCCAATTGCAGAGAGGTGTAAGACAGGGTGACGTCATATCCCCGAAACTCTTCACCGCTGCATTGGAAGACGTTTTTCAAGCTTCTGGACTGGAAAGGATACGGTATTAACATCAATGGTGAGTACATCACTCACCTTCGATTTGCCGACGATATAGTCCTTATGGCAGAATCGCTGGAGGACCTAAGCACTATGCTCAATGACCTCAATAGTGTTTCCCAACGAATAGATCTTAAGATGAACATGGACAAAACAAAGATAATGTTTAATGTCCATGTCACACCTATACCGGTAGTTGTTGGGAGCACTAAGCTCGAAGTTGTTGACGAGTATGTTTACCTGGGATAAATAGTCCGACTAGGTAAGTCCGACTTCGACCGAAACGTCAATCGACAGATTCAACTCGGTTGGGCAGCGTTCGGTAAATTACGGCACATCTTCTCGTCAGGTATACCTTACTCGATCATACGTCCCGCTTTGGGTGGGACAGTTCCACTTTCAGGCTGTCTATCCTGTTGTCCCCAGCAAAGGCAAAATGGTCCCGCTTTCGCAAACAGACCTAACTTCATTCTTCTACATCTATAGCGTTCGAGTCAAATCTTTGAAATAGTGTTGTGATTCAACTGACACAAACTGCTGGGCTAAAGTAAAACAGGCGGAGGCTCACGTTAATGCCCGCGCTATAGAGAGTTCTAAAAATGTTTCAGCCTTTAAAAAGCTATTTTGTAAGTATCGACAAATTCCCAAATATTTTAAAAATGTTTTTCGGAATTCCCAGATCAGAGTTGTGGTTATATTATTACTTGCACGCACAAGCAGCGACATTTCATGAAGCTGTGTTAAAAATTGAGGAGCAAAATGTGTCTGCAATAGAGTCTGCGAAGGTAATTAATCGTCTCCGAGATAACCTGACACTTAAAGAGAGCACTCTATACGTGGTAGAGCCATGCTGCAACTATATTTGTAGTATAGTTATAGCACGAATAGTTTGGCTCGACCGGGGAGGGACCACGCTCTCACAGAATACCAGCGTAAAATAGCACCTCAATGCTGCTGTGTTTCGTATGGTGAGTGTGGAGAACCGGAGACCTTTTTTGGAAAAGAGGCATTCCATCTTAGTCCTCACGGCTGACAACGCATCTGCATTTTGGATTCGCAAACGAGGATAGAGGTCAATGTCTATGGGCCACAGCAACCACTTACCATCAGATGGACTGTGTGCTCATTTGTCACCCTATCCTATAAAAAAAACGATTTTCCTACCTCACACCGTCCGTAACATACTTGTAAAATTACAAAGAACTGAAATTACTGTTGAAACTGGACCGGCTGATTATTTATAGGATAAGCAAAGAATATTTGGAGCCGTGGTGTCAATTCAACATAGAACTACAATTGTTTCAATGGACAAATTTAACGAAAGAATCTACTTGGGATGAGGTACAAAAAGTAATGGATTTGCTGATCACGCAAGGGTTTATTAGCAGCAGCCAAGATACGAAAGGCCTTGACGAGTTTTCGCTTATTTCCAACTTTACGACAGATCATTATTCCAGTCTCATTATTCCAGCCAGTGAAGAAATCACTGGCTGGAATAATGAGAATATTGCTACTGAAGACAGTTGGGTTTAATTATTCCAGCACTTACGTGCCAAATATCTTCACGTAACGAACTTTTGTACAATTATAGAGTATATTATGTGTCTGCCAAGAAGTAATGCGCCGGTAGAAAGAGTTTTTTCTCTAATGAACAAAATATGGTTCAGTGATAAAACTCAGGCCCGTATTCACAAACGATACATACATAAGTATGGTAGCAACACTATGCTAAGCAAGGTATTTCTCAGAGTTTTTTGGCGGGAAATTGACCGGCGGCGGTTTGCTGCTCCTGTATTATTGTTTAAATAATGGTTTGAAGTGGACTTTGATATGTAAAAGTGTTGCGATTTTGTGTATTAAGTGTCTACGCATGTGAACTATTAGTGGAAACAGTGAAACAAGTGCTCTGATGGTGATGGATTCTCAAGATAAGCTGTTTGTTTGCATAGGCACCTTTAGATACCATCGCCAACTATCAGCTGTCTGCTGGATCAAGTTGCCGCCAAAATCTCCCAAGAACTGCACAATGTGACGCATCAACATATTGTGAAGCAGTATACTATGAAGGAGTGGGAAAATTACAATAAACCGAATAAAAATACTTAAGACTTGGCCTAAAGGTCTAGATACCAGGCCATAAACTCCAAAAAAAAAGGTATTTCTCACTGCGTTCGTCATGGCAGGCCGTTCATTTCATGAACAATACTTAGCGGATCCTTTGTTGTGCGGACACATAGCAGTGAATGGGGCGCCGTGATTGGTTAACGTTGTGACGCGACTTCACTCGAGTTGAATGACAGGTAAAAAATAATAACACGTGTTGTTTTCTTTCAGGTAAAAGACGTTACTGGTACCGTTATTATAGGGTACTTATGCATAATTATTATTAAAATAATGTGGATTTGAAACTGTTGATAGGTAGATTAACTGAATTGTTATTACAAATCTGGAAACTCTCAGATGAATAAAATCTTAAGGCCACTAGTAACTTTCAAATGATCTGCATTTATTAGAGGCAGAAGTATATTTATTACGATAATTTTTGAAAACCTCATTGACTTTAAAATTCATTGGCACTGTAATAATCAAAAGGATTTTGAAAGTCACGTATCACTTTTCTTGTGCTAATCGTTCTTTGCACGTTTATTCTCTCCAGGATATAATTATCAAAATCATCTTCGCTGCTGTAATCCATTGCAATTATTCAAACAAAACCAATCAGCGTATCACAAATCAACAAACAAGCTATATACCCCATACCAGTTTGACATTTGCGTTGATTTGTCGCACTATGCGTAGCGTAAAGTAGCTAGCGAGCTACTTTATCTGTGCGTTCATTTTGATGAGCGCATAGTGTCCTCTAACACTCAAGTGACGTTTATGAAACAAAATTTCGTCTACTGTGCGTTAAAGCCTACTGTGCGCACGCATAGTATCGTTCTTGAATACGGGTGTCAGTTTAGTGTCGCAATAATGAAAGCAATTACAAAAATAAATATAAATAAATCCTGTACCGAGCTCCATATGTAGATACCTAAAAATCAGACTCGATATTTTAAAACTAATTTGTTCAGCCGACAAACACGACGCAAAAGAGAAGGCCGACCTTTTAGGCTCCCTTTTTGCGTCCAACTCGACTGTTGATGACGGGGGGAACACACCGCCGACCATCCCGCGGTGTGAGTGCTCCATGCCGGATGTGCGATTCTCACAGCGCTCGGTTCGCAGAGCACTCCTCTCCCTTGACATCCACAAGTCGAGTGGGCCTGACGGAATCTCCCCAATTGTGCTGAGGACGTGTGCTCCGGAGTTGGCACCGGTTCTAACGCATCTTTTCCGGTACTCCTACTCCCTAGGCGTAGTCCCGAAATCATGGAAGACAGCTTTTGTCCACCCGATCCCTAAAAAAGGCGACCGCTCAGATCCGTCCAACTACAGGCCTATCGCCATCACCCCCTTGTTCTCCAAAATAATGGAATCCGTTGTAAACTGCCAGCTCATGCGGTACCTTGAGGATCACCAGCTGATTAGTGACCGCCAGTACGGTTTTCGTCGGGGTCGATCAGCTGGTGATCTTCTGGTCTACTTAACTCATAGATGGGCGTTGGCAGTAGAGTCCAAGGGGGAGGCATTGGCCGTTAGTTTGGACATTACGAAGGCCTTCGATCGGGTTTGGCACAAAGCGCTTCTTTCGAAGCTCCCTTCCTATGGGCTTCCCGAGAAATTATGCAATTGGATCACCAGCTTTCTTGCAGATCGGAGCATCAAGGTCGTTGTAGACGGTGCATGCTCCGACTACAAGCCTATTAACGCTGGTGTTCCACAAGGCTGCGTGCTATCACCAACGCTGTTTCTTCTGCATATCAATGATATGTTGCAAGCTGGTAGCATTCATTGCTATGCAGATGACAGCACTGGTGATGCTCTATACACCGGCCGTGCCAATATTTCTCGGGAAAACGTCACCGAGTACCGGAACAAACTTGTGTCTGAAGTCGAGTCTTTGCTGGACAAAGTCTCGAATTGGGGGCGACTAAATCTAGTCCAGTTTAATCCTCAGAAGACACAAGTTTGCGCGTTTACCGCTAAAAAGAACCCCTTTGTCGTATCTCCTCAGTTTCAAGGTACTCCCCTTGTTGCCTCAGCCAGTATCGGAATCCTCGGCGTCGACATATCGAGTAGCGTGCAGTTTCGTGGTCACTTGGAAGAGAAGGCCAAATTGGCCTCTAAAAAGCTTGGCGTGCTCAGCAGAGCGGGACAGTATTTCATGCCGGCTCAACGCCTGCAACTTTACAAGGCGCAGGTTCGGCCTCACATGGAATACTGTTCCCATCTCTGGGCTGGGGCTCCCCAGTGCCAGCTTCTTCCACTTGACCGCATCCAGCGCAGAGCGGCTCGAATCGTCGACGACCGAGTCCTTTCCGATCGGCTCGACTCATTGGCACTGCGAAGAGATGTTGCATCTCTTAGCATTTTCTTTCGTATTTACCATGGGGAGTGCTCTGAGGAATTATTCGGATTAATCCCAGCCGCCAAATTTCACGAACGCACATCGCGGCAGAACTCCCGATACCATCCACACCATCTGGATGATTGGCGGTCCACCACTGTGCGATTTAGAAGATGTTTTCTTCCTCGCACAACTTCCTTGTGGAATAGTTTACCACCAGCGATTTTTCCGGACCGATACGACTTAGGGACCTTCAAGAAAAGAGCCTACTCCTTTTTAAAAGGCCGGCAACGCATCTGCAATTCCCCTGGTGTTGCGGTTGTTCATGGGCGGCGGTAGTCACTTACCATCAGGTGAGCCGCATGCTCGTTTGCCCCCTCTCCTATAAAAAAAAAAATACAAAAATACTATGTAGAAGTCACGTCACTATTAGGGCTTAGTAACTCATGCAACCTACTTAATTATTTTATAATAAGTGCGTTGTTTATTTTTTATTATTATTACCTTCTGTAATAAAAAAAAATTGTAAACAACCAAAAACGTTTATTTACCAAAATTCCGCAAGAGACGTCCCGCTTTGACAAAAATAATAAATGGTCACGTTAGGTATACTTCAAAACTTGAAAACGAGACTGTACAACCAGTGCGTGTTGCCAGTGATGACCTATGGAACTGAAACGTGGTCTTTTACTGCTGGCCGGATGAGGAAGCTCAAGGTCGCTCAGCGAGTTATGGAGAGGGCTATGCTCAGAGATTCTCTGCGTGATAAACTTAGAAATGAGGATATCCGCAGTAGAACCAGAGTGACCGACATAGCCCAACGGATTAGTAAGCTGAAGTTGCAATAGGCCTGCCATATAGCTCGAAGAAAGGACAATCGATGGGGAAAAAAGGTTCTCAAGTGGTGGCCTCGTACCGGCGGACGAAGTGTAGGGCGTCCCCCAACTAGATGGAGTGACGACCTGGTAAGATATGCATGAAGTAGATGGATGCAGGTGGCTCAGGATCGTGTTATGTGGCATTCCTTGGGGGAGGCCTATGTTCAGCAGTGGACTTGTGAAGGGCTGTAATGATGATGATGATGATATTTAGTAACATTTTTTGACGTAGTAGCCCTGTACACTGCAATGACAAAATAACAGGTCAATAACGCTGCGCACTCTTTTCAAGCACAATTTATTGGAAAAGAAGGTTTAAAGATTATATTTTATTTCGTAGAAACATTAATAAAGAATTTATCTTTTACGTTATTTGAATTTATTACGAACAAACGCATTTCTCTTTTTGTAATACTGCTAATGCTTCATTAAACAGTTGTTTTGAGTTTTGTATCATCTCAGTCAAGTGCTTAAAATCATCTCTTTTTTCTTCTTCGATCATTTTCAGTTTATCTTCCATCATTTTCAGTTTTTCTTCAGCTAATTCTAATTTAAATTTCATTTCCTCTTTATCCAAACCTTCATAACTTTTACTATCCTCTAATTCAAGAGATGTACTCATACTTTGTTTATGTACAAGGGAACAAGTAGGTGATTGCTTTTTGGCGAGAGAACAAGATGTCACAAAGTCTATCTGTTGCTCTTTAGCTATTGATGTTTTAGAAAATCTTGAATTCCTCTTACTACCTTTTAAATTTTTTATCTCATCTTCAAGGCTATTGATCTGTTTTTGTAATTTTCTCTTTTTTTCTTTTAATTTTAGATGAGTAGCTTCTAAATCATCGCATTTGTGTCTTTCAATTTCCAACCGCTCATTTAAACTTTTTACAAGTTCAGACAACTTCTTTATTTCATTATCGGCAGCCGTTTTTATTGGATTGAAGAACACGCTCTGTAAAGAACATTCTTCATATTTTAATAACTGAGTTCTGAGTTCTTCAATTTTCATGGATTTTTCCATTGCTTGTTTCTGCAGTGCCTCAATTTTTGCGTCAGAGTTTTTCAATAATGTGTGAAAGTGCCCTATTTCATTACTTAACTTATTTATTTTATTTGTATTATCTTTCAAAAGATCTTGATAATATAGTTCTAGGTTTTTAATTTGATTCTGTAAATAACAGAAAACATATAAAAAGAGTAAATAACATTTTCATTTTAAATTTAAATATTTTGTCAGACTATACATACTTACTCTTTGCTCATTAATTAACATGTCGTCGTGATTGCTCTTTTCAACAAATGTCTGCATTTTCTGTTTTAATATCACTGAGTCACATTCTAAATTTTTAATTCTACATCTCGCTCCGTCTAACTTTTTTTTTAAGTCTTGGTTTTCTTCCTTTAGGGATAGCAAGTCCTTCATAGCTTGGTCTATTTCTTTCTTTCTCTTCATTTCCAAATCTCTTATTACCTGAAAAACGATAGATTACTAACTACTAAGCCTAAATGTTTATTCTTCGCACTGCCGTGAAGGTCATGTTTTAATTGTTTTGTGTGTATATTCGAGAACGGCATTATATTCATAAATGTGTTTAGTAACTAAATATTATATTGTTAAAAGCTTGGTGGCAGCATAATAATAATAATTATTATTATTATTTATTTCATTTCCAATTATTTAATTGTAATCAAATTTGTTCCTGTATGTAAACGTGTTTACATACAGGAACAAATTTGATTACAATTAAATAAAGTAACAATAAGTGTAACAAAAATAGCATGCTATAATAAAATTTAAAAAAATGTGTGGCTTAATAATGAAGAATCTACAAAAGAAAAATAGAAAGGCCAAGTTTATAATATTAACAACCTGCCTGAAGCCTGAACTAGGTTGAGTGTGTTTCAGACATGTTTCAGACAGCATGATCACAGTACTTAAAAAAATACAAGTTTATTCAATGAGTACCGCAAAACTCATAGAAATATTGTTTATATGTGATCAACAACTTCCAAGTATGCTACTCCTAAAATAACTTGGATGGATTAGGGTTACACCTTCTAAGATGAATTTGTTTCTTTATATGCATATAATTGTAAACCAAAATCCGATCATGAGATTGACAGATGGATTTCATGATTATTAGCTGTATAGTTTAAATATCAGAATATTATGTTAAAATCATATTCATTTATTTATCATATTATGGACACCTCGGTGGCGCAATGACTTAGCATTAAATTGCGGCACTGAGAGCCGCGGGTTTGAATTTCGCATGGAACAAATATTTTTATGTTTGTCATTATACAATTTATGTATGTAAACTGCCTACAGAAGAAAATCCTAATGTTTTTGTTTTCTAAACATTAAAAAATTATCACTATACTTTATAATAAACCTGGAGCTGTTAATTACGACAAAATACCGTTTGATAAATTTCTATGCATTAAAAACAAAAATACAGAAAAAAAGAAGACACTTCGGAGATTGAGATATATTTAAGAATATCTCGCATTTCATATATAACCTATTAAATTTACAAACGATCTGATAAACACAAAAACACACATACCTGAAAAACGTCACACCCTCGTTTTAACGATTTATATTAGTTTTCTAACAATGTTTTCTTTCGAACACATGAGATAATGTAGTATGTATCATATGATATCAGAATTACAAAAAATCTTAATTTAATGAAGAATATATTATGAATTAAAGTCGATAGTTGCATCGCAGAGTCAATAATTTAGTGCTATTTGATGAGATAGAGGCCTTATCTTGCGGTATAGTACGGGTGTATTAAAATCCACTAGTCCATTTAAATGTGAATATCGTAAGAGGCGACAGATTGAAACTGAAACAGAAGATGAACAGCAAGATCTTTCTAATAACAACCAAAACAATAAAAACACTGTGGTTGCCAACCCGCCTGCTAAGTGTGGAAGCTTTATGGCAAATATATTTCCCTGTGAGGCAGTCTAAGGGGGAGGTCTATGTTCAGTAGTAGACTTTTGATAGATAAGTTATAGAGTCAGGCGTTACTTTACGGAAATCCATTATATTAAAGTTGTTAACAACGTTGACTTTTGATAGTTTTTAATGAATGAATGAATGAAAATAGACCTAACCTGGTTTTGATCTTTCCTCTTGGCTTCAATTAGATCCTTGTGTTTTCCATTTAGTTTATCTTCTAGTTCATTTATTCTATTTTGTAACAATACAATTTGCTGAGCCCTACCTTTCCACCCCGCTAAATCATTTTGTAGTTCTTTAATACTAGTAAACTTATCGCCAAGCTCTTGTTGTAATATCTTGGTAGCAATTAGTATGTCATTTTTTAATTCTAAGTTTCTGTTTTTACTGTCGAAAAGTTTTTTGTTTACGCTGGCTAGTTTATTATTGAGTTCTTTTAACTCGTCAGAATTAGCTTCGGTAGTGTCTTCTTTACATAAACAAATATCTAATTTATCGTGTTCTTTGTTCATTAAATCTAACTGCATTATTTTTCGTTCCAAAGAAGAATTCTTTGTTTTATATCCCTCTAGTTCTGCAACTAAATGTCGGTTTTGCTTGCATAGTTCAGTAATTTTTGCACTAATTATACCGGCAGATTTCGAAGATATTGCTGGCCCAGTACCGGAAATTATATCACGAATTCGTTGATTCAATTCAGTGATCGTTTTATTCAGTTGCTTAGTTTCTTCATCTTTTGAAAATATTAACTTACGTAATTCATTATTTTCACATGTCATTACCTGCCAAATTAAAAACTTTATTTTGTAGAAATAGTTGATTCAAATGATAAAATTCTATAAAAATATTTTGTAGATAAAATGTATAAAAATGTGTTTTTGATGAGCTTAACCAAGTCAAATGCTATAAAAATAAAATATGTGGAGATTATATGTACCGTTTTCTTTTAAAGTTTTGCTGTATTTAAGGTTACTTATTTTTTCATAACAAGCTATCTAAGCCCAATATTAACTGGGATCTGATTGATTTCAACTGATCCGAGACTAATATTTGCATATATACAAAATATTGGTTTTACACATTTGTGTTTCTGACAACGCATTCAGTCCTTCCTCCTCTAAATGAGAATAAACATCAAAACTTAAAGCAGAATAAAGGCTTTCTCCTATATCATATAAGCGTTTTAAATTCTTAAATGAAAACCAAGTGCGGGAAAAATATTTGCAGATCATATAAATACAAAAGGAATGCAACAAATTTGGTAATTAAACCTGCGGCCCGAAGCACCGCAGTCATTAAGCAAGATATAACAGTGGCTCAGAATAATGATTTGTGGTATCAATGTGGTATACCCGTGTTCAACAGTAAACTCGTGAACTGTAATAGTGATAACTACAAATGGTGAAATGTTAACTACTAAGTAAAGGCTGCAGAAATCACTGAAATAATTGTTTAATTCTGTACTGGTCATCATTTATAAAATACCTTTAATTGTTCAATTAAATGAGCATTTAATTCCGGTGGATACAAAACGTCTTCAGGATCTGGTTTTTCAAGAGCCGCTAGCATTTTTAATTTCATTTCGTCAGTTTCGTCAATTTTGTTAGCCAGTTCTGACAATTTTTCCTCTTTAAAATTGTTCTTTTTTGTTGAAGTCATTATTAGTCAGAAATACAGTATAAATTGAATTAAAAACGTATAAATTAAATCTGACGTTACACTTAAACGTCAATTGCTTCAAATTTTATTTTCTTTTAATTTTTATATAAAGAGAATAATCACAGGCAGTGTCTAACTTTGAATTCTGACAGCCCACAAATTATGGTAAAATATAATATCTAGTAATAATATATTTACTAGATATTATATTTTACCAGCTGTCCACCCCGCGGTTTCGCTTACATTAAATCAAAATTTTCTGATAGTAAGTTAAAGTTACTTCGCGCACATCCGCTCGATAAAGTAACATGTGTCTTACCTAGTTTGAAGAGCACCTACAGCCCTCCCTCAATTGCGTGCACTATCACCGTCACCACTAATCCCAGCAACACTACTCCCAACACCACTACACTAGGAAAGACACACCACTGACGACAATATGACACATGTTTCGCCTCTACACGAGGTATCGTCCACAAGTCTCTCGTTAACAACTTTGTAAAGATTGTGAGTGTGTCGACGAGGGTTGCGTACCTTATACTCAGAATCACCAAACGGTATTCGCTGGTAAACGTTGGTTTATGCACCAACCTCGGGACATTCCGATGAGGAGGTGGAGGAAATGTATGAGGATATCTCTAGAGCCATTCATTCCTCCAAAACCCACTATACGGTGTTAATCGGAGACTTTAATGCAAAACTAGGCACCCCTCGTGCTCTATTCCAAAGTCCCGAAACATTTCAGCTCGAGTTACAAAACCGTTTTCAGTGCCTAGAAGACTGCAGTGAAGTGGACGATATGAATGACAAGCTCGTGGAAACTGTCCATGCGGTCGGAGCTAAGTTCTGCAAGACCTGTCGCAGAAGAAAACAAAAACTCTTCAATCACACTCTTAATCTCATGGCTGTTAGACGGGAGATGAAGCTATAGTCTTCAACAGATTTGACAGCATAAAGGCAAGTGAACAAACAGATCTACAAATGCATGCGGTGGGACTAACGCAACTTCAATACAGCTTGTGTTGAAGAAGCGATCGAGCGGAACCAAGGCTCCAAAGTCTTTGCCAGAGATCTGTCTGCCAGCAAGAGCCAACTGTCAAAGCTGAAGACCGAGTGTGGTTGCATCGTTTCCGAGACATCTGAAATTTTGAGTGAGATTGAGAGGTTCTATGGGCAGCTGTACACGTCTTCGTTGGAGCCACACGCAAGTGTGAGTAACGATTCAAGAGCGAGACTTATCCGACACTATTCCTGAGATATCCCGGACGTCAGTCTAAGCGAGATTAGAATGGCTCTCGAGCACCTTAAAAACGGCAGGGCCTAAGGTGAGGATGGAATTACAGCGGAGCTTCTGAAAGCGAGTGGAAAACCGGTACTCCAAAAGCTCTTTAATTCCGTCCTCCATGGTGGCACTACTCCGAAGGCGTGTAGCAGTAGTTCGGTTGTTCTTATTCTTCAAGAAAGGCGATAACGCTCTCTTGAAGAACTACAGACCGATTTCCCTTCTGAACCACGTCTACGTTCTGTTTTCGAGAATCATTACGAATCGTCTCGCACGCAGTTTCGACGACTTCCAGCCTCCCGAACAAGCCGGTTTCCGAAAAGGCTTTAGTACCATAGACCGCATACACACCCTTGGGCAAATTGTACAGAAGACAGAGGAGTATAATCTGCCACTTTGCCTTGCGTATGTGGACTATGAGAAAGCCTTTGATTCCGTCGAAATTGGGGCGGTGCTGCAGTCCCTTCAACGGTGCCAAGTTGACTGTCGGTATAACGAAGTGCTGAAGTGTTTGTACAATAGGACTATGATGGCTATCCGAGTACAGAATCAGAGTACAAAACTCTACTCTAATTGCAGAGAGGTGTAAGACAGGGTGACGTTATATCCCCGAAACTCTTCACCGCTGCATTGCAAGACGTTTTCAAGCTACTGGACTGGAAAGGATGCGCTATTAACACCAATGGCGAGTACATCACTCACCTTCGATTTACCGACGATATAGTCCTTATGGCAGAATCGCTGGAGGACCTAAGTACTATGCTCAATGACCTCAATAGTGTCTCCCAATGACACTATTATTATATAATTAAATTACACTATTATTAAAATAAAATTTATTATATAAAGTCTTAAGATGAACATGGACAAAACAAAAATCATGTTTAACGTCCATGTTACACCTATGCCGGTAGTTTTTGGGAGCACTAAGCTCGAAGTTGTTGACGAGTATGTTTACCTGGGACAAATAGTTCGATTTGGTAAATCCAACTTCGACCGAGAGGTCAATCGACGGATGCAACTCGGCTGGGCAGCGTTCTGGAAACTACGACACATCTTCTCGTTAGACATACCTCAAAACCTGAAAACGAAATTGTACAACCAGTGCGTGTTGCCAGTGATGACTTATGGATCTGAGATGTGGTCCTTCACTGCTGGCCGAATGAGGAAGCTCAAGGTTGCTCAGCGAGCTATGGAGAGGGCTATGCTCGGGGTTTCTCTGCGTGATAAACTTAGTATTGAGGATATCCGCAGTAGAACCAGAGTGACCGACATAGTCCAACGGATTAGTAAACTGATGGGCAGTGGGCCGGCCATATAGTTCGAAGAACCGACAATCGATAGGGAAGAAAGGTTCTTGAGTGGCAGCCTCGTACCGGTAGGCGAAGTGTAGGGCGACCTCCCACTAAATGGAGTGACGACCTGGTAAGATATGTAGGAAGTCGATGGATGCAGGTGGCTCGGGACCGTGCTTTGTGGTATTCCTTGGGGGAGGCCTATGTTCAGTAGTGGACTTATGAAAGCCTGTAATGATGATGATGATGTCTTCACAGACATTGAGTTTCTTAAGAAATTTTAAGAGTCAATAGTGTTTAAGTTCCGCATGGAGACAGTGTGTTGTCCAGTAAATGATTTACTTTCGTAATCAAAAATATTAAAGGCCTGTAACAAAGCCAGAAACAGTATGTTTTATTATTATAATACAATTGTTTTATTGCAATTAGACTGTTTCTTTATAAAATATAAGCTTCCTAAGGAACAAGACTTTTTTTAAGGTAGGTGTGTGTGCTATTATTGGACACAGTGTACGCATAGACTTATTATATAACTGCGTATGGATCGGGTTATTACATTAATAATGTCCTCCAGACCGAGTTTCGCTTACAGTAGCCAGAAATAAGGTAACTTTAAAGCGAAAAGATAAATTTTCTTGATTCCCTTTCCCTTGGGAATTTGAAAATCCTCAAAATTGTCAATAGTGATTATTATCTATTTACTGTATTCGTATCAGCGGTCTTAGTTGTTGAGGAATGTGCAAGTGCCAAGAAATTGCCTTGTAGTCTGCGGTGAGTTGAGAAGAAGGTGAGTAATCTGCGAGACTGCCGTGAAGCAGAGGTGAGCAGTAAGGTTCAGAGCCGTGTCGAACACTGTAGCGCAGAGAGTAGCTTGAAGGAGTGAGGAGCATTATTCCTGTGCTGCGATGAAACTTGTAAAGCTAGATAGCTTGCAGGATTTAAAGACGGCAGACAATATCTGCACGGGGACGAATGGATGGGGTACTTGAAGAACATGACGAAAGCTTGAAGTTCAAGTTTCCGGAGGTTGTTGATTGCGTCTTGTTCACATCACGTCGGATGGTTACCAGTGTAGCCGTTGAAGGAAAAGGAGAGACTTCCCGCCAGGCAAGGTGTTCTGCCCGGGGAGCGACCACCACTCCTAGTGTTATTTCGGAGCTATTCTATATATAGCGCGTTAAGTTGATGAGTCTGTGAGTGATTACAGTGAGTGTGTGAGTCGGGATATGTCTTAACAATATCTACACATAAATCAATATATTGTATTAATTTATGTGTAACATAAGCTTATGACCTAGCTTTACAAGTAGGTTTTATACGTAGTAGAGCCATGCTGCAGCTATATTAGTAGTATAGTTGTAGCACGAATGGGTCGGCTCGACCGGGGAAGGACCACGCTCTCACAGAATACCAGCGTTAAATAGCAGCTTAACACTGCTGTGTTTCGTATGGTGAGTGTGGAGAACCGGAGACCCTTTTTACTGGAAAAGAGCATTCCATCTTAGTCCTCACGGGTGACAACGCATCTGCATTTTGATTCGTAAACGAGGATAAATTTAGATGTCTATGGGCTACAGCAACCACTTGCCATCAGGTGGACTGTGTGCTCATTTGTCACCCTATCCTATAAAAAAAGGTATTTAAATCATACAGTCCTAACGCCCATTCGGCGGTATAGTGCCAATAAAATAAACACTCTCTCGTTTCCGCATTATACTTATTCATTGGCTTTTGGAAGAATCAAGCCTTTTTGTTTCTATAGCTCTATAGAATAGAATAGAATAATTTTTATTCAATATACATTACATGTGTAATTCTTATTGAAAGTCATTTTTTACTTTACCATATAACTGTGCGAGGACCTATAGACTTACGGGTGTATTCATAATCATTTTTAAACAGTTCATTAGTTAAAAAGTGTTTTGTCTCATTCTGACATTTGCGAGATACTTGTTGCTAGAAAGTGACAAAACACTTTTTAACTAATGAACTGTTTAAAAATGATTATGAATACACCCGTTAGCATATACTGGCGTGGATCCACAAACTAATAAGAAGTGCTAGCGTAGACCCTACGTCATGTTTTTTTTATTTATCGTTGGCAGTTTTGTTAACTGGTAACATTTTTTTTGTTTTGAAGGCAATATCCTTACAATTTTGACAACTGTCTTGTCATATGTTCACTTCATTGATTATTTGATAACAATAGTCTGCAGAAAAATTAGAAATATATTTTTTTCTCATTAGTAAAAACTTTTTAATGAATTTATGTTAAAAGGCTGAAGTTTTACTTTGGATCCTGTTAGGATTTATCTTCTATAAATAGGTTTGTATGAAATTGATGCCCTTGTGACATCACAATAATTGTATTAATCCTATTTCATTTAAAATTTATTCAGATTTATTAAATTTAGAGTGATATTTTAACACTATATCATTGCAGGTAAAAATGCCTGGCACAAACTTGATTGTCCCTGTCGTTTTGTGGGGTAAACATGCACCCTCACACTGCGTGTCATCTGTATACTTATCAAGGGATCAGAAAACTCTGGTTACTGGGTGCTACGATGGCCAAATTTGTATTTGGCAAGTGAATCCTGATACATTAAAAATGACGCCTCGCTGTCTTCTTGTGGGCCACACAGCTCCTGTTACCTGCTTGTCTAGGGCTTCTATTATACAGGTAAGTTTGATTTAAGTCACTGAAAGTAATCTGCCCAGTTAGTTTGCCAATGAGCACCCACTGTTGTGTTCGAGTTGAAGTGTTTTAACATATTCAATTTTCCCTCAAGATCAAGAGTATGTATTACAATGTACTAGTCGCCATGGTTCAGCTTTAGAAATGGCAATCCTAAATATTGAGTTCATATTTTATGGTAGAAAGAGTTAGTAAATGTCAAATTGCAGGAATTCATCAGTTACAAAAATGTTAATAAATCTAGGATGAATTATCACACAGTACCAAAAATACTGACAAATGTTAAACAACAAAAAGTTTCATTTTATAATTTTAATAGATGAAATTTTCATATTTAATGTTTTAAAACCACCTTTAACATATAGGAGTGCACACTATGGAGATGCTCTTACACATATTTGGGACATATATTATCTTGTTGATTTGAGAAGTGGCATGTAATTTTTTTTGCCGAGTTACCCAAGTTGATTTTCCGTCGCTAACGCTAATAGAAAACTATAGAAATGAATGTAATCAAAAATATTTCATTCTCATTCAAACTATACGTTTCTATTAATTTTAATACAATGGTATATGGTAATGGTAATAACAAATGGTAGAATACCATTGAATAATTAATTTTATACAATTGTAGAAAATCGTTGATAATTGTAGAAATAATTGGTGGTACCCATGTAAAAGAACATATAGCTGACTAGCAAGCACCAACGTTCAGAGAAGTCTGCAGTCTGTGAACATGTTCAAGATCATCCCCGCCATTACATTAGATTTGATAGACCACAAATACTCGCAAAAGAACACCGATTCTTTTTCGAATTTTATTATAAATTTTATTTTAATTCTTTATAGGTTTTACCCTTTTTTTTATTTCTTCTTTTAATTTTTTGACTAAGAACATTATATCATTGACTATTAAAAAATTACGATAAATAGGATTTAACTATGAAATCAATTATATGTATACATTTTTGCATTGGTTTAAGTTTATTAAATTCCTATCATATTTGTAGGTTCAAAAGCTGTCACAATACTAAATTGTCCGTACCCCGACATGTATTCTTGCTACATTAACCAATGCCATAGTAAAAGTATTTCGGTTTCACAGCCTACCATAGAAATTCATAACTCTATTAGCATTCCTCTAATGACACAAATTTTTCCCATTTTTCGGAGCAAATTTACAATTATCATCGTAATGTACCAGTGGTTAATAGAATTCCTAGAGGTGTGAGGATGCAGCTTGCTAAAGCATTGTCATGCACTATTTGTTTCACTAATAGTAAAAAGAGTAGGCAAAAATTATTTACTTTCACGTATTCCCATTTTCATTTTGATAAAACAATAAATAAAACAATTACGTCTCAACTAAAAGAGCCATCTTTTCATAATTTAGACTACCCAATTAATACTCATTTATCTCTGTCATATGCTAAATTTGATTTAAAAAAGTAGTTGAGTCGAAAGTAATGGATGGCGACTTAAAAAATGCATCCCATATTTTATTCTAAGATGATATCCTGGCTCCTCGTAATGTCGAAACTCTTGAAAGCCTTCGTCAGAAGCATCCTTCGGTCAAATCTTCTCAGGGTTTACCGCTGCATCCCAAGACTTCTATGCAACCTTTACAAATTTCTGAAAAAGACACTTTAGAAGCAATTATGTCATTTTCGAATGGCTTTGCTGGCGGCAGTGACGGAATCACGCCTCAACATCTTAAAGATCTTGTAAGCGCTTCTGCCGGTGATGCCGGCGGAAGCGCATAGGCTTAAAGACATTACAAAACTATGTAACTTTATGCTTTCTGGTAATGTTAATCCAAATTTCATTGCATTCTTATATGGGAAAAGATTATGTGCCTTCAAAAAAAAGGATAACGGTATACGTCCTATTTCCGTTGGTGCCACATTTCGACGCTTAACTTCAAAATTAGCATGCAGGCACATAATCTCTAACCTTAAGACAAAATTTCAGCTTACTCAACTAGGCTTTGGCACTAGAGGTGGCTGTGAGGTGGCGGTACATTCAGTGCGTACATTTTTAACAAACTCTGATGCAGATGTTCTTGTGAAGGTTGACCTAAGGAATGCTTTTAACTCTATCAATAGGGTAACCTTGCTGAAAGAAGTGGCTAACAATACCCCCGAAATTTATCATTACGTTTGCAATGTTATAGTCAAAATACTAACTTGTTTTACGAAAACCATGTTATCGATTCTGCTGTCGGTGTTCAGCAGGGTGACCCACTAGGTCCAGCACTTTTCAGTTTGGGAATTCAACCCATTATTTCTAATTTGAAATCTAAGCTGAATGTCTGGTACCTGGACGACGGAACACTGGGAGGTAGAGCAGATGACGTCCTCAGTGATCTTACTCATATTTTTCGAAATTTTAAAAATATTGGTCTTGAACCAAATAGCAATAAATGTGAAATATTTTTTTCCAATAATTTATCTCCTTCTCATAGAGTCACTTTAATTCAAAATTTCAATCATATTTCTCCAGGAATAAAAACTGTCAGTACGGAATCACTATACCTGCTAGGTGCCCTGTTGTTTTTCGATAGTATTAAACCTGTTTAAAAAAAAAATTTGATCAGTTTTTAAACCACGTTGATAAATTGTATAACTTAAACCCCACATAGCTCTTACTATTTTAAGATTGTCATCTTGTACCTAGATTTACATACTCACTCTGCTCGAGTCCAGTCTGGAAATGTTCGGATATATACAAAAGATATTGATAATAATCTTAAAATAGCTATAGAAAAAATTCTAAATTTAACTTTAAATACAACAGCCTCGACTCAAGCATTACCTATAAAATTTGGTGGTATTGGTGTGAGATATCTTTCTAGTGTTGCATTGCATGCTTTCCTTGCTTCCGTGCATAGTGTCAGTGACTTATGTAACATAATTTTAAATAATAAAGTAGACCTGTACTCTGCTACGGAGGCAGGGCAGACATGGCGAACGCTCTGTCCCGGTGAAAATGTTCTACTGGAAGTTAACCAACAAAAACAGTAGGATATTCTGTTGGTACAGGGAGTGCAGAAAGATTTGTTTCATAATTTCCATAGTGACCAAGATAAGGCACGCCTTCTAGCTGTTTCACCAAAGGAATCTAGTCACTGGTTATATAATATAATAATCTCAGCACATTACTTGATGGGGAAAGCTTGCGCATCGCCGTTGGAATCCGACTAGGAGTGGCGATTTGTCAACCCCATCAGTGCCCCTGTGGTAGCAGCGTCGACAAGTTTGGGCTCCACGGATTTTCATGTAAGAAAAGTGCTGGTAGGTTTTCACGACACAGTTCTTTGAACCATGTCATCCGAAGGATTCTTGTCTCTATAAATGTTCCCTCGGTTTTAGAGTCTTGTGGAATATTTAGAGACGATGGCAGGAGACCCGACGATATGACCTTGATCCCTTGGGAAAGAGCTAAAGCCGTAGTGTGGGATGCTACTTGCGTAGACACTCTGGTGGCCTCTCATCTCAGGAGTACCTCGTTTAGAGCCGGGGCGGCATTAGAGGCAGCTGAACTGAGTAAGTGGCGCAAATATGAGTCTCTGAGAGATGACTACATATTTGTGCCATTTGCTGTAGAGACTATCGGTCCGTGGGGTCCACGTGCGGTGAAGTTCCTAAAGGAACTCCATCCGCGGTTGATTGTTGCTGCTGGTGATAAGAGGGCTGGTTCTTTTCTCGCTCAAAAGTTAATTATAGCCATTCAGCGGCGAAACGCAGCCAGCGTTCTTGGCACGATACCGCGGGGAGTAGGACTATATGATAATTAAGTTTCTAGTTTTAGTTTTTTTATTATTATTATAGTTTGTTATTTGTATTGATTGTAGTCGAAAATAAATGTACTTTTAAATATTACACCGTATTTTTGCTTTGGTTGATATTTTTAAGAAATTTTGAAATATTCATTTTTTCTCAAAATCTCAATAAAAATTAGTTGATGATTCTCAGAGATTGTGATTCTGGGTGATTTCAACATCCACCAATGGCTCAGTTCTCATACAACCCATTATGCTGGGAGATCTATTTAGAAACGACTTTACCTTGGTATATAAGTCTTTCATAACTGATTACTTTGTCCACGCAGGTTCCAGTTGTAGAAAGTCATATACTTTCCCTGATGGATCATCTGCAGACGGTCAGCAGATTTCCGTCGAAGCTCTTCTTCTTCGGGCCATTTTCTGATCTGGAGTAAGGTGCCTCTCACCTAATCATCTCTAATGTGGAGTGTGAAATGGGATGTGATGCGTTTTTTTATGCATCCTGGCTAAAGGATCGCTTGTCTTACGTGCCCAATGATTCCAACATGTTGCTGATTCTATCGCTTAGTTGATACTTTAGGAAATGGAACTTCTATTTTTATTATCTGTGATGCCCATTGGAAGTAGATCCCAGCCATGGTTTGGTTGCTCGTGTAAAGTTGCATAACACTATAAGCAGGAATGCTGCCAGGGCTGATGCATCAACTTTCTGGGACTCAAACATCATCACTCTTTAAGAGCATTATAATTCTGCCTCTGGGTCCTTCAAAAGTGTTGTTACTAAGGCAAAGTCAAATCACATGGGCAAAATTGGCGAATTGGCTTTGGCCATGGTAGTCTAAGAGAACTTCTGTCAGCCTTCTCTTACATCTCTGCACAGGGATACACACAGGAGCATTCTAATGCCGCAAAGTGGAAGCTGATCTTTCAGGCTCAGCTTTTGCATTCAGCGACTCTCAATGACAGGGGAACACACCACCAACCATTACGCAGTGTGAGTGTTCCATGCCAGACATTTAAAACATTTCAAAATTATAATGCTCATAGGTAAAGTAAGATGGCCAAATTTATGAAAGATTGATAGAAAAAGAAGTGACATTTTTATAATTTCTGGGATTTAGTTTTAGAGTGCCATAAAAGCAAGTGTTGTATATAATATTGGGAGAATATTTCATATATGTCAACATGTATTGAGCAGCACAATTAACATTTCCCTGATTTTAAATCTGTTCAGATTGTTTTTATGTAGACTGTTACTTAAAACATTATTTTACAGGACAACAACTATATAGTGAGCTCTTCGGAAGCTGGTGAAATGTGTACTTGGGATCTTGTGGATGGCAAGTGCCGGGAGAGTGTGAAGTTGACACAGGTTCACACAAACATACAGGTGAGAACTCTTATTGTACTCATAAAATAGTTATAACAAGCTTACATCCATAAAGTTACTAATAATGATATCCGCCTGGCCAATATTTGACCATGGCGACAACTTCCAAATATTTTTAAAACTGTTAACTGCACAGGAGCTAGTATAGTGCCACTAGTATATGTAAACACACAAGGCACTTGTCCTATGTACACCATGTCCGATGTAATGTTTATATGATGCTTCATAATGTCCTCCAGACCGAATTTCGGTCACGGCGGCCAGTCTCAATGAAGCTAGCTATATGCGCAGGACAGTATTATAGTGCCCAAGTGTATGCGCGAATACGTGTGTATTCTCATAGTCTGATGGGAAGGTAATCCGACAAGACTAGAGAGAGATCAGGCGCAGGACCAACGGCATTACGTGATTTCTGAGACACGGGCGTGAAACACTACCAACTTTTTGACACCGGGCTGTTGCTATTTCTTGACAGAAACACCTAATACCTGATTAGATGCTTCATAATATGCTAGGATGCAGTGCCACAGAATAATGCCTAAGAACAGATGAGATAAACAACTAAAATATAATAATTACACATTTGAAACACACACATAATTACACACTCAGCGAGCTATGGAGAGGGCTATGCTCGGGGTTTCTCTGCGTGATAGACATAGAAATGAGGATATCCGCAGTAGAACCAGAGTAACCGACATAGCCCAACGGATTAGTAAGCTAAAGTGGCAGTGGGCCGGCCATATAGCTTGAAGAACCGACAACCAATGGGGAAGAAAGGTTTTCGAGTGGCAGCCTCGTACCGGTAGGCGAAGTGTAGGGCGACCCCCCACTAGATGGAGTGACAACCTGTTAAGACATGCAGGAAGTCGATGGATGCAGGTGGCTCAGGACCGTGTTTTGTGGCATTCCTTGGGGGAGGCCATGTTCAGCAGTGGACTTGTGAAAGGCTGTAATGATGATGATGATGATGACACATTTGAAAATAGGATACGAGCTTATATCGATTGTTTCAACTGCTGGCCTGTTAAGTAATAATAATAATAATAATTTCTGCGAACTAGTTAATCCCAGTCAGCCTCTCGGGTTATCTGAGGCGACTGGGACTCCGTGACGGATCGCTCCAAGCTCAAATGCAGAAGGCGGTGCTCCTCGATACCGCCCGCATCGTCCGCCGGTTTCTTTCCCTTTCCCCCTAGCCCTCGGCCGTTTAGTCTCCCCTGCCGAGGGCTTCCAACTTGTTGGGTTTTTATTTATTTATGTATTATTTTATGTATTTATTTTATTTTATTGGTATTTATGTATGTTTATCATTTTCATTTACAATTATATATTTATACAGCCCAACCAGATGAGAAATCTATACAAATACCCACAATAATAATAATGTTAAAGTGATCATGAAAATAAAAAATAGCTTGTAGTTTGCAAAATTATTCTCTGGCTTAGATTGTTCCTTGGAACACTTGGAAACTTACTAATTCCGTCATAAACCTCGTACATATATATAATTTAATTAATTTTTACGCATAACTTCATTACAGCTGTCAATTCTTTTCATCTTTTAATGTCATGATGACGACCTGGTAAGAGACGTAGGAAGTTGATGGATATAGGTGGCTCAGGACCGTGCTTTTTGGTATTCCTTGGGGGAGACCTATGTTCTACAGTGGACTTGTGATGGGATGTGATGATGATGATAATGAATGTTATATTATTTTTATTTTATTTGGGGAGCTTACAGCTACATTTAATCTAGCACACATTATATTTGGGTTTCCTTTTCAGCAGCAGTAGACCGGTTTACGTATGAGTAATAAAGCCAATATAATTGTGTTACAGCACTTCTTGTGGCCTTTTTTGTTTGTTATTGGTCTTAGGTGATACTGTAGTAGCCACTTAACCAACCATCACTGCAAATGGACTATTTTCTTATCTTAATCATATATATGAAAATTAATGTTTGTTTGTTCGTATTTTATGCGCGGCCATATCATTCATCAGATTGCGCTAAAACTGTGTATAATTATTGCTTACACTTCCGCGAAGTTTATAGACATAGTATAATGAACTTACAGTAGGTGGCGCACGTATCGTACCGACAAATTTGTTTGAAAGTTATATATCATTCAACTTCAAAGAATGCATTATCATAACAATATAACCCTTCCAATTTTAAAACGATATTTCTGCAATTGTTTCTGCTGCTGCTGTAACGCTCCTGGTACCAACTAGTATATTATAAAAAGATACATACAGATTAATTAAATTAAAAATATTTTTGACAGGCCTATCACATGTGCAACAGCGAAGATCTGCGTTTATTTTGTAATGGATACTATGCCGAGATCCTTATCATGGACCCATTTTCTCTCGAAATTTTATTCTGCTTGAGTTCCAAGATGAATCCCGACTGGATATCTGCTTTGCATGTAAGTATGACTTGGGAAAATCATGATAAAACTTTTTGTATCATATACGTTTCGACTTAGCCAGACCGGTGGGAGCGAGCGTTATCGTCCATAAAAAGTAGCCAATGCGTGTGGAGCATGAGGAATTAGAACAATCGTTATGTATCGTAGTTCTGGCAGTGTGCCGTTTTTGTTGAAGATTAACACCGTTCGATCCAACAAATTTATTCCTGCCCAAAAGATAGGATGGCTGCAACCCTTCTCAAGTAGCACAATAATTTTGCTGGCCTTTATTACTTTATCTACATTTTTGAGACCATTAAACAGCAATAACATTACTCTAAAATGTCAAGAAAATGAAATAATTCAATAAATTTCATTTCAAATGAATTACATTTCAGTTTCAAATATATCTTCTTACATAGATAAATTATTCAATTGCTTACAGGTTTTGCGGCCTTCTTCAAGAAAAGATGACGTCGTGCTAGCCATTTCAATCACTGGCACTGTGAAAGTAAGTTCCATTCTGCTATTAATTAATGAAACACAAATGAAGGTCTATGCAGTTAACCATCACTAATGAGTTAAGCGACTTGCATCTTTAATGTGCCTGTCAAGTGTGTCGATTACGGTGGATACTTCTGATTTAGAAGGTCTATTTCCATCCGTGTAGGTTGTTTGTGAATGGATAAAATGCAAACGATAAACTGACCTACAGTAATCGACACAGTTTACACGTAGTAAGTGGCTACTGAATTCCATGGACACCTGTAGCCAACTACAAACAAAGCAGGCCACAAATGTGTCGTCACCTATGACGATTAAGATGGAGTGCCTCGAAACCTGTAATCATGCTAGCTCTCTTCCTCTACTCAACCCTTCAGTCATGAATACAGCAGTGCAAGCACTGATATTTAGCGGTAGAAATAGGTAAGAGGGACCTACCAACGCAGTAAATTCTTTACCTATCTATACAAATAAATAAAATTGAAGTGTCTGTTTTTTAATATCAAAATAACAGCTTTTTATTACATGCATATGAAAGTATATACGGTATTTATAACAAAAACACAATTTTTAACATTTTTGTCTGTCTGTCTGTTTGTCTATTTGTTCCGGCTAATCTCCGAAACGGCGGGACCGATTTCGACGGGACTTTCACTGGCAGATAGCTGATGTTATGAGGAGTAACTTAGGCTACTTATATTTTAGAAAAAGAATTAGGGTTCCGCGCAACATAATTAAAACCCTAAATTACACGCGGACGAAGTTGCGGTGAACAGCTAGTTTCAAATAAAGAAGGCTACACATGCGTTGTAACCTAAAAAAACTAAGATGGAATGCCTCACAGCCTGTTATTATATTGATTTTGTCCTATTTTAACTACTATTAGCTCTCTATACACTTCAGATCGGAACAGAGCAGTGCATTCACTGGTATTTGGCGGCAAAAATAGGTAAAATGGTGGCATAGTTATTCTAATGAAGGTTTCGCCTTGATTGTAGTAGTTACGTGTATGAACAGGCGCGTTTGTGTCTGTGTAACTGCGATTCGTTCGACCCGCGATCGTGACTGAGCGCTCCCGAGACCTACGTACACTAACACAATGTGTATGTGCACGGTTAACAACAACCAAGGTCAAACCTTCATCATAATAGTATAACTAATAATAATAAGAAGAAATAGAATAATAATTTAGACTGACTTCTAGGCAGAAAAAAAGTTCTACAACCTAGTAATTGAACAAAATGGTATTTATTTATTTATTTATTTATTTAGAAAACCAACAGCGTATATAGAAAATATTAACATTAATGTAACAAACTAAAAGTATGGCCAATAACAGGTTTCCCTTATATTGTTTGATGGTAGGTGTATTGTTGTTAGAAGAAAAGGAAAAAGAACAATCTAGTAGATAAATTATAAGCAAAATTATAAGCAATTCAATGTAATGAAGGTGGTCATAAGTTTACAGATCAGGAGAGATAGTCAGATAGAATGATATATTACATTACCTTTATATATATATATATAAATATATATATACAGGGTATTTTTGGAACGCTCCCGAAAACTAAGACAGGCGACAGCACCAAGTACACCTTTGATCATGGGTCATAAATAAATTTGATCCTGATGAAAAAAAAAACATATTTTTACAACGCTTTATTAGCTTTATTCACGCGCCATCATGTTAGTACAGCTAAATGAAACGATAATTTCATAAAAAAAATCATGAAAAGACTGAAACATAAAACCAGCAGTGGAAACTGAATTGATATCACCTGACTAATGGAGGTTAATGTACGCGCGAACGGTGAAAAAAGAACGCTGGCCTTGAACTTGGGCACTGAGCGATTTATCACATATTGGCCAGTATTACTGTGCCTGCATGCTATTGGTTCCCGCGCTTTGTTCGCTCCAAAAATACAGTCGCATACACAGCTTACTTTGCGACTCGCGACGATGTTTTAAAAAGGAAGGAAAAAAATTTATTTATATCTATTGTTTTATGACTAAACTAGTGAACGAAAAGGTAAATATGATAGGAGAAGGTGAATGGGGAAAATTGTGCAGTAAAGTTAAAATTGTTGAGGAAGAATACCGAAAAAATTACCATGTGATCGACCTGATGACGGAAGCTCAAGCGAAGATGAAAGTGATGATGAAGTAGCATCCAGTAACACCAACACACCATCAACATCTGGCTTCCATGTGACCCAAGACGTCATAATGGACGGCGTGTCACCCTTAGCTTAAGTTTTTTTGTTACAAACTACTTTATATTTTACGATAGAAATAACAAACAATGCTCAAGTAAACATTATCTATTTTTAATTCCTCTTCCAAAGTTCTAAGTAGCTAGTAAAACACCTATTATGATTCTACAATAAAACAATTAATTACTATAATATTATAAAACAATAGCCCAATACCATGTAGTACTTTAGAACGCGACTGTACCCACACTCACTCCGCTGTCGACCTGTATCTAGCTCGCTATGAAACAATGCTGCGGTCATAAGAAAAAAGAGCGCATCTAACAATTTTCGAATAAATGAGTTAAATATACCATTCGACTCATGATAAGAAGACGTATCTACTAAATTTTTTTAATATTCACTAATATCAATATTTTAGAAATTATCGTCAGAATTTTAGACATAGCTGTTGATCACAGATGACATTTTATTAGTAGAAAAGACTTATACAAATTCAACATAAAAGAAAAGACTTATTTAACCAGTTGCTACGTCATCTTTAACAATATTTGCATCGATTACTTAAATTTAAATTATTCTTGTCTTATTATTTTATATCTTATTATTAAGAGCTTATATCTTATTATTAAGAGTTGGTGTTTCACATGTGGTCCTATATAAATTTGATCGAGGTCAGACCAATAGTTTTTGAGTTATCCTTAATTATTTATATTAAAGTCGGTTGTACAAATGTTTTAATTTTTAATTATTATCGTAGTAAGTCTTGCATGATATCCCCTTTAAAATCATTACTCAAGAGTTGCGGGTTGTTATTTTTTGTGTCTCACTACCAATGCTTTTCTAATATTTACTAAGAAAAAAGTAGTAAATTACTATTAGCGTCCTCTCAACTTCAAATGACCTTTCCAAAATATGTAAAATGTTAAATGAATGGTAGTTTTGTTTTATTTATTAGGTTGGGAAGACCCAAATAGTTATATGCGTCTTTCCTTCGATGTTTTTGTGTTGCCAGGTATAGTGAATTAAGGTGAAAGCGCCAGGGTAGCCCGCGAAATTCAAATTTTCTTACGTTTTTTTGCAATTTGCAGGTCAGTGTCAGGTTTTATGTTTACAAACGTCTATGTTTTTATAATTCCAATGTATGGCTATTTCCCGAAAAACTCATTCAAAGGGATTATATGAAGTTAGAGGGTTGCATTGGTGATTTTAATGATAATAATTCTATAAACACATACTCATTACGGTCGCGAATCATATTTTATTAAACATTCAACCTGACCCTGACCTGCAAATTCCAAAAAACGCAAGAAAATTTGATTTTCGCGGGCCACCCCGGAGATTTCACCTTAAAGAATAAGCGATTATGTGCTCTATCTGTCCAATACTTCAAGGTGTGGTCACTCCTCGGACACGAGAACAAGCAGTCGGAACCTATCTACGAAAACGAGTCGAAGCAAATCCGCTGTCTGAACGCCTTATCCCTCAACTGCTGCGCGTATAACCAGCGCACAGTGTTGGTAGTTTGCGCCAAGTATTGCCAGATTTACGATGCAGGTCAGTGGTTTGTTGGTTGTAGTCTATAAGTTATTTTATATGTGTTTGAGTCAAGTTTTCACGTGGTAGCGTCATGATGTCGCTATATTATGCTTGTAGCATGTATGGGTCGCCTCGACCGGGGAAGGACCACGCTCTAACATAATACCAGACTAAAATAGCAGCTCAATGCTGCTGTGTTTCGTATGGTGAGTGTAGAGAACCGGAGAACCTTTTTACTGCAAACGAGGCATACCATCTTCGTCCTCAGCGGTGATAGTGCATCTGCATTTTGATACTTAATCGCGGATAGACGTATATGTATATGGGCCACATTATTGGGATCCACTTACCACCAGGTTGACTGTGTGCTCGTTTGTCACCCTTATTTTATAAAAAAAAGTTGAAGGGTATAAGTTGCGTCAACCGGAGAAGGAACACGCTCGCATATCAGTTAAGCAAGCAGGATAATGTTGCTGTGATATACATCGCATAATGGCGACGATGTCTTTGTGCCACAACATGTACCTAACATTAGGTTGACTCTGTATTCATTTGTCACTGTTACTTATAAAGAAAAAGGGAGTAATTTTATTATTTTACATCTTTTTTAAATATTTTAAGTACCATAGAAGATAAGAGTCGCCTAAGGGTAAATGGTTATTACAGCCCATGGCAACTAACATCAAATAAAGAAGACTACGATATGATTTCGGCTTGATTCTCCCTTCTTCTTATTGCTTAAACCGATTTCCCATCCAATGAGGTGTGATTTCATAGCTCTAGACTCCAATTTTACAGTATGTTTCTGGGATTGAACTCTGGTTGCTTGTACCTAATTTCGATCCCCGCTGAAACTAATGACATTGTTAACACAATTTTAAATACTCATTTATCACTTGCTTAGCCGCAAAGGAACACATCGTGAAGTCAGTCAAGGAAATGTTTAAAAAATGCTTCGAGGACATGTGAAGTTCGGCAGCATGCATTGGGGTAGCGCGGCGGACACTTTAAGTGTTTTAAAAACCCATTACATAGAATATTACTTTACACTTTTATGGAAGTGCGTAAAAGTGAAACGAAGAATATTTTAGAAGAAAAAAAAAAGATGTTTGCATGGTATATGCAGAGTTATTTGTGATAGGTAGGTAGAATAAGGATGACAAACGAGATCACAGTTCACCAGATGGTAAGTGGATGCTGTGGCCCATAGACATCTACATTTATCCTCGATTTAGAATCAAAATGCAAATGCGTTCAAAACATTGAAGAGATTGAGAAATGAGACATTCAATCTTAGTTCTCAAAAGTTAGGGTCTCCGGTTCTCTATACTTACTATACGAAACATAGCAGCATTAAGATGAGAGCGTGGCCCTTCCCCGGTCCAGCTGACCCATACTTTATATAAAGTTAAAGTTACAGCCTATATACGTTCCACAGCTTGGCACAGACCTCCTCTTATTTCTGAGAGAGTTTTAAGGCGAACTTTACATGTCTTCAAAAATTTTTTTCTTATTTCTCAGACACAGGTAGCCTCACCATATTTTCCTTCTCCGCCGAGCACGTGGTAAATCAGCACTTAAAATTGCAATTAACAATTTCATTGGTGCCTGCGGGGATCGAAGCCGGGTTGCTCGTGTACTGAAATTTACAGCGAGCGCTAACCATCTGAGCTACCACGGCTCTCACCTACGTTCTAAAACCATAATATAACTGCAGCATGGCTCTGCCACGTGTAGAGGTGGTATTTTTAGTCAAACAATAACCTGTTTCCAGTGAGATAAAATTAACAAAAGTGCAGTACAGGTACAGTACAGGTACAGTACAGGTACAGTACAGTGACTAGTTAATTTATTCAAAATTTTTAGTTAAATTGTGCTATATTACTTGCTTGTTTGTTGTTTTCAGGAGATTTTTCAGTCCTTTGCTCCATTCAAGCGCCTTCAGGAGAGCGTTGGATGTCTGGAGACTTTTTAGCCACGGACAGAGTACTTGTGTGGTCTACAGAGGGGAAGGGATACTTGTATAAACTGCCGGCTAAGTGAGTAGAAATAGTATTTATAATATTGGTCACTCGTATATTTTACTACGATACACCTATTTGTGTAATGGGGTAGTAACAGGTAACTAAATCTTAAATATGTGTTATGGTAGATGTGTTTGATATACGCTTGATATTTTTGGATTTAATAATTTAAAATTAAAAATTTTGTACAAACGAATTCAATATCACGCAGAGAAACTCCGAGCATAGCCCTCTCCATAGCTCGCTGAGCGACCTTGAGCTTCCTCATACGGCCAGCAGTGAAGGACCACGTCTCAGTTCCATAAGTCATCACTGGCAACACGCACTGGTTGTACAATTTCGTTTTCAGATTTTGAGGTATGTCTGACGAGAAGATGTGTCGTAGCTTCCCGAACGCTGCCCAGCCGAGTTGAATCCGTCGATTGACCTCTCGGTCGAAGTTGGACTTACCTAGTCGGACTATTTGTCCCAGGTAAACATAATCGTCAACAACTTCGAGCTTAGTGCTCCCAACAACTACCGGCATAGGTGTGACATGGACATTGAACATGATCTTTGTTTTGTCCATGTTCATCTTAAGACCTATCCGTTGGGAAACACTATCGAGGTCATTGAGCATAGTGCTTAGGTCCTCCAGCGATTCTGCCATAAGGACTATATCGTCGGCAAATCGAAGGTGAGTGATGTACTCGCCATTGATGTTGATACCGTATCCTTTCCAGTCCAGAAGCTTGAAAACGTCTTCCAATGCAGCGGTGAAGAGTTTCGGGGATATGACGTCACCCTGTCTTACACCTCTCTGCAATTGGATAGGTTTCGTACTCTGGTTCTGTACTCGGATAGCCATCGTAGCCCTACTGTACAAGCACTTCAACACTTCGATATACCGACAGTCAACTTGGCACCGCTGAAGGGACTGCAGCACCGCCCAAATTACGACGGAATCAAAGGCTTTCTCATAGTCCACATACGCCAGACATAGTGGCAAATTGTACTCTTCGGACTTCTGTACAATTTGCCGAAGGGTATGTATGTGGTCTATGGTGCTAAAGCCCTTTCGGAAACCGGCTTGTTCGGGAGGCTGGAAGTCGTCAAGTCTGCGCGCGAGACGATTCGTAATGACTCTCGAAAACAGCACGTAGACGCGGCTCAGAAGGGAAATCGGTCTGTAGTTCTTCAAGAGAGCGTTGTCACCTTTCTTGAAGAACAAGACCACCGCACTTCTGCTCCACGCCTCCGGTGTAATGCCACCATGGAGGACGGAATTAAAGAGCTTCTGAAGGACTTCAAGTACCGGTTTTCCACCCGCTTTCAGAAGCTCCGCTGTAATTCCATCCTCGCCTGGGGCCTTACCGTTTTTAAGGTGCTGGAGAGCCATTCTAATCTCGCTCAGACTGACGTCCGGGATATCTTCGGAATAGTGTCGGATGAGACTCGGTCTTGGATCGTTACTCACACTTGCGTGTGGCTCCAACGATGACGTGTACAGCTGCCCATAGAACCTCTCAATCTCACTCAAAATCTCAGGTGTCCCGGAAACGATGCTGCGTGATGCGTGATAAACTTAGGAATGAGGATATCCGCAGTAGAACCAGAGTAACCGACATAGCCCAACGGATTAGTAAGCTGAAGTGGCAGTGGGCCGGCCATATAGCTCGAAGAACCGACAACCGATGGGGAAGAAAGGTTCTCGAGTGGCAGCCTCGTACCGGTAGGCGAAGTGTAGGGCGTCCCCCCACGAGATGGAGTGACGACCTGGTAAGACATGCAGGAAGTCGATGGATGCAGGTGGCTCAGGACCGTGCTTTGTGGCATTCTTTGGGGGAGGCCTATGTTCAGCAGTGGACTTGTGAAGGGCTGTAATGATGATGATGATGATGATGATGATGATGAATTCAATATAAATTATTAAAAATAACTCAAAAACTATTGGTCAGACCTTGATCAAATTTATATGCGACCACATGTGAAGCACTAGCTATAAAATAAAAAAGAATCATCGATATCGGTTCACCCTGTAAAAAGTTATGAGGTAACACTCATAAAAAAAAAACATACAGTCGAATTGAGTATCGTCTCCTTTTTGAAGTTGGTAGGAAAGAACCCCTGACCCAATTAAGTAATAGTTTTGTTAGAACCGACATGACCAATATGATTGTGAGTAATTGTAAGCGATGTACTTGCAGATAAACAGTGATTATGTACTTCATAGTATATTCAATAAGGAGAACAGACTCCGCCTACCTGGGGAATTGTGATAATATCTATGGGAGTAAAATAATTTAGAATTTTGTTTATGGTATGTTATTGTTTGTTAATGGGGTGTTTATAAATCATGGTTTTATATGATTTCATCATTAGATGTTCATCAGAGCACATTGCCTGGTATTTATGTGTTGAATGTCTTTCATACACAACACACAGATTTGTCATGGACACAGACTAGATTATGTTAGATTTTTTTTTATAAATCATCTTCGATTAACAAGTGTACAGTTCACAGTAGAGTAAGTATAAAGAAGTATAAATGCTGAACCGGTATTTATAAGAATGTATGATACAATATTTTATTTTCCTCATTTCATTATACATAATCTACATAACATATTCAACACCCAATTATGGATGTGCAAAAAGGATTACATTCTGTGAAATTATGAAAACTAAAGTATAATTTTTAGTGATAGTGAAAAAATACATTTTATAAACATATTATACAAATATATAATAAATGTATACAAAAAAGTTGTATATTTAAATGCTATTTTGAAGAGAAAACGTTAGGTTAACACATTATGTAATAATAATTACATAATATTTGATAATATATCTAATCTAACCTTACACAATTATCCATCGCTTGTCACGTCTGTAGTAAGTCTAATATTAAAAACGCAAATAAGCCTAAAATTAAGTTAACTAATTAAATTAACAGTTGATGAAAATTGATTAAAAGAAATTATTTCATTCAGCACCTTTATAACATTTTCATAGGCCCTAATTTAATATCTGCACAAGATATTTTGGTCATTATTGAGTCTATTCTCTCACAAAAAACTAACAAACATTTTATTCTGCCTGCCGGCTAAATGCTAAAATGTCAATTTCTTTTATAGCAAGCTACGCGGACGGGCTATACGTAGGTCAGCACAGATTGATTTGTTATTTCGTACGTAATTGTTTTAGATGTAATATGTATTGCAGTTCGATTCCTTTGCTAGCACTTTTTAAGGCTTGTTTCATAAAGTTTTTGTGTCACACAGTGTCGCTGATTGAGTTTAGAAAAGGTTGTAAGTTGTAAATGAAAATAAAACCTTTTCAGAACATTAGCGTATCAAGCTGTCATTTTGGTGTATATTATTTCATTATCGTTCATTTAATTACAATATAATGTGGTATATTAGTCGTAGTTGAAATAGTTGGTATGGTATGTTTTGATTTTAATAGCAGTTTTATAACTTTATTTTGCAAACACAAGCCCAAATCACTACATTACTTTTTATTTAATGTCAGTTCTTTGATAAACATGTATCTGTAATTCCATGTATCTAAAATTGCTTTAGAAAAACGTACTTCACTTTGAATTATAACATGAAATATGTGATTGGTTAATATTTTTTTTTTATATTTTGTTACTGTCACTATTTACTTCTGTTGTTGTTAAATAATATTATAATGATTTTTTTATTCGGATGTTCCGATGAAATCGAACGCAACTATTTTTCCACCGTTCTTATGAACGCAAGGAGCGACAGTTAATCGTATTATTATTTGCAGCTCCGTGCCAGATCATAAAGGGTTCCATGGTCCCACAGTGGAACACGACAGCCCAGTCCTCTTTGGTATTTTGGCCCATCCCGACAACAAGGTATACTTGATAACATTTTAGCCAGTTATCTCTATGTTACCCGCAAACAAATGAAACTGATTTCAATTATCCGTGGCTAGCTGCTGTCATGTCCGCCGGCGATGCGATTCGTGACGACATCTGTGGGCGGCAAACAGCGACGTCTGCTGCTACGAGGCGACTCGCACGGAGTTGTGTCTGTTTGGAGCGTGGACGACGCGGCCACGCCAGTGCCCAACCAACTGCCTTGTAAGTATAGTGTTGGCTAGCCTAACTAAGCTTCCTTAGTTAGTTCTTTCTTGCTGGCCCTTCACAGGACAGAGGTTTTTTTACGATAAAAGGAAAACAAAATGACTTTCAATAAGAATTACTTGTGATCTATTGTTATGTGCGGGGTGACTATAAATGCCGATTAGGACGAGAAATGGACGTATTCTTACAAACACACGGCAAGTAACTTCGCTAAGGCTACCTCACCACTCAAACTTCACACACTCATACACATACACATACACACACACACACACACACACTCATTCACACACTCACACCTATACACACACTCACACCCATACACACTCAATCTCAATTACACGCGCGCTCCTTTAAATTAGAATATGCTTGTTATATCTGTAATTTTTATAATTTTTAAGTCGTATTTTTTTTTTTGCTTTGCTACGCATAATTGTTTTACGTAATTTCGACTATTCATGCCTAGTGTGGGAGTCACAGAACTTTTTTGTATTTTGGCTAAGAGTTTCTGGTAAATAAATAAATTTATTATTATTATTTGGGGCATCTATATAGTTTACTCATCTGGTTGGGCTGTATAAATATATAATTGTAAATGAAAATGATGAATTATTATTATTATTATTAAACTTCTTCGTTGAGATCCTCAATAATCGCAGATGTAGGTCGCAATGGCTTCCCTTAGTAGAGTTCCCTATCGCGTTGCCAAAATAATAGATTCTCCTATCGCCGGAGCATGCTTCTATATCAAATAAGTGGAATGTAGAACATTCCACGATAATCCGGGTTATTCCACTCTTTCAACCAAAAAGATACTAGAACACTAGCAATTACACATTGATAACAATATGTCCAAAGGAGAAAAGGCTTTACGTACGTAGACATAGTGTAAGCGTTGACTATTTTTATGCATACTCATTTTATTACCTTGACAGAGTCCATTGACCCTAATCTCCAGGAACGTTCTGGTGTAACGTGATGCCACAGGCAAATGGCTGTCTGTCTGTCTGTCGTAACACTATATCGAATAAAAAATATCTGTTCTATTCTATTCTATTCATATATCTATCCTAACCTTGCGAGTTCTGTGGGCTAGCCTCAGACGAACAAAGAAGAGACGAAGAGCTGTGTACATTTTAAGTGACGCAAAAACCAAGCCTTATTCACGTACACATATGCAATCAAAATAATTAGCAAACACAAAATGGTGTTAGAAGCATATGTGTGTGTCCACTGTCCAGCAGTAGACTTTTAGGGACTGATAAAGAAAGAAAGTAAAAAGATGCGTGTGTGAGTGCGTGTTAAGAAGTTGATCATGGTTTCGGCATCACGTGAAATGTACACAGCGCTCGGTTTATCTTTCTTCTTTTTTTTTAGTATACTTATAGTTTTTCATATGACCATCATCCAATAGGGGAACATCATATTGGCTTTTTGTTATTTATTTTATTTCTTCTCTACAGCACATGCGCCAATTGTTATGACGAGCTTGGATATGGCGTGGGCTGAAATGAACCCTAGCCCCGTGGGCATTTTGGACCAGCTAAGTCATACAGACGAACAAGGTATTATTATATTATATTTTATAACTAACTAATTGATATGGTTTTAGTGATAGTATTTCTATATATAGAAATGCTGTCACTAAAACCACAATATATAATCTGTCTTCTTTTTAAAAAAAAACGAGACTAAATAACTTTTGTGTGATTTTTTATAATCCCCTTCAAAAACAGTATAATATTATTAAAAGATTATTATTTATAGATTTGTTTGTTTGGTTTGTTTTCAGAAATAAAGCTCACTGCCTCCATATATCTCCTCGCTGCCAACCGGCTCGTGGTCGGACGTGAAGACGGCTCCATTGTAATTGTAAACGCAACACATACAGTACAGTTACAACTACTGCACGGAGGACATCAACAATTAGATGGTAATATTAAAATTAGTAAAAGTAATTCTTAATTAAAATATAATTTTATCATCATTATTGTATTCTTTTACAAGTCCACTGATAAACATAGGCCTCCCCCATAGCACTAAGTATGGTCCTGAGTCATTGACTCTGAATGACATTCTGTAACAATATTTTTAAATAGGTTAATAATAATTATAAAATTATAAATGAATAATATTTTTTTTTCATGAGCTTTATGAGCAGTCGGAAGGTGGTCTATAAAGGCTCGTTTGGCTGTACATGAGGGGGTATTGGTTCCGACACTCATGTACGGAAGTGAAAGTTGGATATGGCAGAAGAAACATGAAAGCAGAATAAATGCAGTTGAGATGAGAGCGTTAAGGGTATGATAGGAGTAAAACTGAGTGACAGGATAAGAAATAGTGAGATAAGGAAACGTTGTGGTCTGAAAGAAGATGTAGTGACAAAAATTGAGAAAGGTATGTTGAGATGGTTTGGCCATGTCGAAAGAATGAATGAAGAACGATTTACGAAAAAGGTGTATAAGGCGAGTCCCGGGTAGGGCCAAAACCAGTTATTGGGTTTTCCGTCAAGAACTTATCAGTAGCAGCCCTGGGCTTAGTAAAGCGCTTGGTCCTGCGCCTGATCTCTTTCCGGCGTCGGATATCCGTACCATCGGACTATAGAGTAGGGAAGTAGAGTGCACCTGTGTTTGCGTACACACACGCATGCACTATAATCCTATCCTGTGTAAATGGTTAGTCTCATTGAGACTGGTCGCCGTATACGAAAATATTTGATATGGAGGATATTATAATTAATAAATTACTTCTCTACTATAATCGAATCATCAATACTTATATTATAATTTTATATGTCTAATGAAATCATTTAAACCGGTTCTATGCACGTTTGTCCACAGCAGTTGGTTTTATAGCAGTGTAAATATAATTATTAAACAGGCTTGGAAATTCAAACTTTTTAATAATTTTATATAATAATAACCATAATATATATGAAGGAATAACATAATTCCTAAAGGAGTTTCTCACAATGGTTATTAATTAAATTATAAATATTTTACTTTCAGATTGGCCGCCTCATCAATTACTTTTAGGCCATAATGGCAGAGTGAATTGCTTGCTGTATCCGCATCATGTTCATCCGAGGCAAGTAATTTGTAGCAATATTTTATATCTTCTTTTTTTCTTCTCTCTCTCTCTCTATATCTCTCTCTCTTTCTTTCTCTCTCTCTTTCTCTTTCTCTTTCTCCTGATATCGTCTTTAAGTATGTAACTTAAAGACAAGATACAAAGAGTAAATTTTAAATTTTTCACTACGACAGATACGATCGATCGCACCTGGTGTCCGGCGGGATAGACTTTGCGGTGTGCCTGTGGGACTTGTTCAGCGGAGCATTACTGCATCGCTTCTGTGTACACGCCGGCGAGATCACGCAGCTGATAGTGCCGCCACATAACTGCAGTGTGCGTGTTTTTATTTATTATAATAGCAAAAGGCTGATTATTTGAGGTCGTTTTTTGGCCATGTTACAGTCAAATATAGTTACTACACTAAAGAATAGTTTTTGCTATATAATATGAATTGGAACTGTCCAAGTCTCATGCTCATATTATTTAAAAAAAATTAAAGTGTAAGGAATAAATAATTGTAAACTAAGATTCTTTTTGTCAACTGTTGGAACGCTTGCTTGTCCAACGAAGTATAGGTTAAATAAAAATAATCTTTGCATAAGCAAGTGTAGAATGAATATATTAAATATATTATATTATATATTAAAAATATTATTCGAATTGCAAACTACATTATTTTGAAACCCATATATTCAAACAATAATTGATGCAATTTTTAACAGTTTCTTTTTAATTTGAATTTGAACTTCTGATCAAATTGGTATGAAATATTTGGGAAGTAAATTGTAATTTTTTTAATATACACGCCTAAAATTATATTGTAAACTGTATTCTAGATAGTGTCTACTAGACCTTCCAACGTGGTAGAGCCATGCTGCAGCTATATTGTGGTTGTAGCACGAATGGGTCGGCTCGACCGGGGTAGGACTACGTTCTCACAGAATACCAGCGTAAATTAGCAGCTGTGTTTTGTATGGTGAGTGTAGAGAACTTGAGACCCTTTTTACTGGAAACGAGGCATTCCATCTTAGTTCTTAGGGGTGACGGCGCATCTGCATTTTGATTCTTAATCGAGGATAGATGCAGATGTCTATGGGCCTCAGCATCCACTTACTATCAGGTGGACGGTTAGCTCGTTTGTTGCCCATATTATATAAAAAAATACTTATTTTGTCCAATGTGTATAAATATTTTCAGACGCGGATACAAAAGTGCATCTGCTCTGTGGCTTCCGATCACAGCGTCACATTGCTAAGTAAGTTTAATTTTATTTGTTTGGTGTTTTATGTCTATATTGAAGTGAGAAGCAACCACATGTTCATCTGTTTTTTTATCATTGCTAGGCTTAACGGAGCGCAAGTGTGTGACACTGGCGTCTCGGCATTTGTTCCCTGTGGTAAGCATCAAATGGCGGCCAGCTGACGACTTTATGGTGGTGGGCTGCAGTGACGGCACCGTCTACGTCTGGCAGATGGAGACCGGACATCTCGATAGGGTTTTACATGGTAAGTTTAAAATAAGTTTAATTATTGGATTCCTATTTCAAAGTGCTAAAAACTTTTTACTAGATGGCAATAAAACCTGTCCATTGGCCTACTTAATCAACATATGCTTGTTTCAAGTTCATATTTGTAAAAATTGCACTGATTGGAGGTTTAGTGAGCGCTGTACAAAGTAAAAGTGACAAAGAGTCAGCCTTTGTCACTTTTGTCTTTCTTCACACTCACCGGTTTGAATATGATTCATGTGAAAACCTATGGATTATATCTGAAAGAATCAATGCTTCCAGCTTGAAGGACCGAAAATAACATGTATTTCAGGATGTCACAGATTATCGTAAGGATTATTGTGAACTGTAAAAGGTGTAAAAAATATTATCTATTCTAGTGGAAAATCAATGCAATATGACACATGACGATATACTATCAATGCCAAGTCTCCTTTATGCTGTCGAATTGGTGGGCTTCACATATTGTGTTTAAATTATTTTTAAATTGTTAAATATTTTTATGTGCTACAGCCATATACTGCAGCGTGACGCAACGATGTTAAAATGTAGGTGTTTAGAGAAAAAGAATACGTAATTCTTTTTCTTCGACGCAGACAAAAACTATAAAGTCAAATGACTGCGCATACACGTCACCAACGCTCGTCTCTCATAGGCGCTTTGGAATGAATGTATGACCGCGATATAAGTTCACTATTTTAGTACCGACCAAGAGTTATGGTCTTTGCGCACGTCATAATATTATCACTTAAACATTTCTGAACAAATTAACCATCAAAAATGACTAGTTGTTTGGTTATTTGTTAAGAGAAAACAAAACATCCATCTGTAGAAAAGATGCTATAACTTTTTAACGGTAAGTAGGAAATGTTTTTTGTATCGCAAATATTATGAGTAAATGTAAGTAATATAGGGCTTAAGTCAAATTCGTAGTTTGTGGTAAACATGCTGCCATATTGTCCGGCATTCGGCAACATTGTTGCGTAGACCAACCGGATCGTGTTATTTAGAATGATCCAACCTACAAACTGGCCAAAATAACGATCCAGAGGCTCTTTTAACTTCTGAAACATAACAAGTATTCTCAAAGTCTACATTTTATTTTCTTTAAAATTGTCTATACATAACATGATTTAATAGGGCTTATGTCTCAAAAATAATGTAATCTTTCAAATCTGAATAACTGAATGTTTTTGTTGGTTGAAACAATTCTGCACAACACTGGCCAATCACAGTTGCAATATTTCTTTTGTCCCTGAATTAGTGAATAGAAATTAGCTAATCGGATCTCAAGTGGCTATGTTCCATTGTATGCAGGTATGATCGCCGAGGAAGTGTTGTCAGCGTGCGACGAGACGGTGGCAGACGAGCTGGGCGGCGCTCTGGCGGCCGGCGCCGGTGACCTGCAGGGCCTCGCCAACCCCGCCGTCCACTTCTTCAGGTGAGCTCGTTGTCAACCGCCTTTTGAACAAGTCACAATTCGGTGTTTACTAAAATTTACGAAAATGTGTTATGACAATTTCTAAAAGAAATGCTTTTTACCAGGTAAACTATGATATTAAATTACCACTGAATGCAAATAAAACATGAACGTATTACTTTAAGGTAATTAAGTTCGCAACATTGGAACAATATTTCAAAAAAACTCACACTGAAACTTCATCGCTGATTAGGTAACAGTTCAGACTTTATTTCCCGATAGTTCTTTTGTTTCATTTGCCATACATCATGTTCATCACGGTCCTCCCATTGATGATGGTGTTCCTCATCCAAAAACGAAGGCTCTGGTTTTGTGGGGGCTCGAGGTGGGACGATGACTCAGAAGTAGCCTCGAGATATGATAGCTCTGTGAGGTTGTTGGGGACAATAAGTACTGCCCCCAGGATGTTCTTCCAATAAAACAAAGCAAGAGAGGGACCCCGATTGCATTTCTAACGGACATCACGGGATTCCTTGTAATCAATTATGGTGACCACCGTGGGATTAAGCTGGTAGGAGTCCGAGATAACTTTTTGTTGTCCCCGCAGCCGAAGGCCCGCGATAAAAAATTCGATGTGTGTGTGGTGCATACGCGGCGGTGTGTTTTACGTGAATATGTGTACGTAACGTCAAAATTTACACTAAATGGAAATTATGTGATGTAGCAACACGACCTCAAAATGGCGTCGCTCGCCCCTCCGCAGCGTGCGATGCGTCACAGTCCATACTCAACGTAACAAAGTCTTTGATTCTTTAGCTATTGAGTGGTGCAACAAAATTTTTGTGTAAATGCTATTAAGCCGCGTATCAATTACGCGCTCCATGAGGTCGAAAATTGGCGCGCGCTCCAGCCGCGCGAAATGGATTCCGCTTTGGAGCGCGCGCCAAATTGTGCCAAGTGTCGGTTTTTTACCGTGCATCAAAGTAGTTTAAGTTTTGGCGCGCGCGCCATTTGGCACAGCTGCTCGTACACGACCGACATCCATGTTGAACGATCAAACACTGCAGCGGCTGCCGCGTGCACCAGGAGCGCTGAGTTGATGCACTTGGAACATTTGGAGCGCGTTCCGCGGAGCGCACTGGTCCTAGCGGTCATTCATGGCACGCGCGCCAGGAGCGCGAGCGACTTATTCACGTCAAAAATTTTGCTAATGATCATTAGCTTCTTTGGAAGTTTTACCGAAAGCTATCGATATAACTAACGTTGATCTGGCTTCTATTTAAGACTGGTGTAAATTTTATGGATTATCCATTAATCCCACAAAAACTTAAGCAATTATTTTTGGTAGTTCTAGATTAGCTGCGAGGGTTGACTTGTCTCTCATACCACCTATTTTTCTCGGCATTCACCTTGCTTTTAGGGATAAAGTTAAGAATTTAGGAATATATGTCGACTTTTGTCTAACATGGTCACCACTGGTAAACGAAGTAAGTAGGAAAATGTTTGCAGGGCTTAGCTACCTGCGGAGACTTAAAAATGTTCTTCTTACTGTCACCAAAGTTGTGCTTGTGCTCAATTCCTACTTTTGCCTATTCTTGACTATGCTGATATTTATTTACCTGGACGTTACCGAAGAGTAGTTAAATAAACTTGAGCGAATTTGAAGTTTATGCTTACTACATATTTGGATTCCGGAAACATGATCACATTTCAGAATTTCGTAAACGTCCCAAGTGGTTGCCGATTGGCCTTTGCAGGAATACTTTCTGCTTTATCTGTATATTGTTCAATCTCTCCACTCCACGTTACCTGAAAGACCGCTTTGAATTTATCTCCTCCTCTCACGATCGTAATCTACGTTCCATTAACAATCTTTTGTTTCGTATTCCGGCATATTTATGCTCTTTCTTCAATAAATCATTTTCGGTTACAGCTGTACGCTTGTGAAACTCCTTGCATTTATATATTCGACTTGCTCAGGTCTTTTTTCCTTCAAAACTCTACTCAAACCTTAGTGTTTAGAGCTATAATAATTGCCATAATAATTCCCGCCCTTAATTGTATTTTTTTTATAGGAGAGGGGGCAAATGTGCATGCGGCTCACCTGATGGTAAGTGACTACCGCCGCCCATGAACAACTGCAACACCAGGAGAACTAGGGGGATTGCAGATGCGTTGCCGGCCTTTTAAGAATGATTAGGCTCTTTTCTTGAAATAGAAACCTTATATATAGTCCTTATGGCAGAATTGCTGGAGGACCTAAGCACTATGCTCAATGATCTCAATAGTGCCTCCCAACGGATAGGATGAACATGGACAAAACAAATATTACGTATAAAGTCCATGTCACATCTATGCCGGAAGTTGGAACACTAAGCTCGAAGCTGTTGACGAGTGTGTTTACCTGGGACAAATAGTCCGACAAGGTAAGTCTAACTTCGACCGAGAGGTCAATCGACGGATTCAACTCGGTTGGGCAGTGTTCGGGAAATTACGGCACATCTTATCGTTAGGTATACCTCAAAACTTCAAAACGAGACTGTACAACCAGTGCGTGTTGCCGGTGATGATTTATGGAATTGAGATGTGGTCCTTCACTGCTGGCCGTATGTGAAAGTTCTAAGTCGCTCAGCGAGCCTTGGAGAGGGTTATGCTCGGCTTTTCTCTGCGTGATAGACTTAAAAACGAGGACATCCGCAGTAGAACCAGAGTGACCGACATAGCTGAACGGATTAGTAAGATGAACTTGCTATGGGCCGGCCATATAGCTTGAAGAACCGATAACCGACGGGGAAAAGGTTCTCGAGTGGCGACCTTTTTTATAAGTAGAAGAGGGGGCAAACGAGCATGCGGCTCACCTGATGGTAAGTGACTACCGCCGCCCATGAACAACCGCAACAACAGGAGAGTTGCAGATGCGTTGCCGGCCTTTTAGAAAGGTGTAAGCTCTTTTCTTGCGGGTTCCTAAGTCGTATTGGTCCGGAAAAATCGCTGGTGGTAATCGATTCACCAAGGAAGTTGTGCGAGGGAGAAAACTTCTTCTAAATCGCACAGTGGTGGACCGCCAATCATCCTTACGGTATGGATGGTATCGCGAGTTTTGTCGCGATGTGCGATGGTAATATTGAGCGGCTGGAATTAGTCCGAACAATTCCTTAGAGCACCCTCTGAAGGGGAGTGCGGAAAGCTTGTCCATTGCAAAGAGTTCTGACAAATGTCTACCCGAGCCAAGGCGCAGCCGAAGGTGAGGGTTGACAGTCGGAAAAAGTTGCAATGACGGTTCCGCACGTGTACTGAACAACTATTTTTAATACAGTTGCGAAAAAATGAATCAATTTAATACAGAACATTTTTGGTAAATGGCGCCACCCGTAAAAGAATATAAGCAGAGATTTTTTTGTTTTCTTCACTCATTCTGGATAGGCAAAGGTAACTATGCCCATACAGCCAAGTATTCAGTAGAATTTTTTTATTGATATGAAATGAAAATGAAATTTAATGAGATGAAATGAAATGAAACCTAACAAATAGTACTAAACAAATTATTAGCTTCTTTTTAGAAATATTTGCATGAATCATAAAAACTTTTATGAATTTTTTTTAGTAAAAACTTCGTGGTTGGTTTTTTCTTTTTAATAGACATTATTTTGACAGTTGGGAAAGAGAACGCACGAGTTCGGAAAAGGTAAAGAAAAAGGTCGAGTATGTAATAGCCCACATCCCGAACGCTATACGTCCTTGCGATACGCCACTTTTTGAATTAAACTGTATTAAAAAAAATATGTCGGTTGATGGATTGATTGTACTGCGGCAGGGGGCTGCGGCACCGCAATCTGACGGCGATGCGCGCGGCGACGGCGCGCGGGCTGGCGGCCCTGGCGGGCGCGGGCGGCGCGGCCGGCGCGGGCCCGCTCGCCGAGCCGCCGCGAGCGCGCCGCGCGCCGCTCACCGTGCAGGGCTTCCGCTCCAACCCCACCGGTGACCACCACCTGCATACATACTTTCTACAACAACACTACTACAGCACTCCTTAAGACTTTCAACAAAACGTCGTGTTCACTACCCAAACACTCAAACGCTACTCAATTTTACAAATGCCGTTAAGTCTCGTGCTGTCTCTATCAGTTTAACTTAAAGTGACTGTAACATCATGACACTTAACGACGTCTTAAAATTGAGTAGTGTTTGAGTGTTTAGCCATTAGACACGGTTTTGTGACTACGGAGCAAATACATAGAGGAGGTGGTGTAATTAGATTTCACTGTGTAACATCGCATAATAATTTGCGAGGTGAGGGGGTGTTAAGCCCCGCCCACTTAACTATTTTCCATTTACCGACGAATAGTACAACTAATCGCATCATTCCATATCGATGTTGCAATGTAGTTTAGTTACCTAGACGATAGATGGCGGCCTGTTCACAAAATCATTATAAAAAATATAAAAATAATATTATGGCGATTAAAAATTCTTTAGGACTGAATGCAAAACAAATTTCAGCACCTTCTGATTACTTTACCAAAACTGAGCTCTACGTACCTTTATGTATATTTTTAGTTCCCATAATACAAATTGTCTCCATCTAGTGTCGAATATATTTAATTATATTTGAAAGCTAACGCAGAGATTTTTCAAAAACTATTTTAATAAATTAGGTAGAAAATTACATATAAATGAAATATGATGCCATCCATAGTATCAGAGCGTCTATCTGAGTAGTTTTTGCACGATAAAACAACACTTCATCCTTTTCTTCTTAATACTACAAAAATACACTGATTTTCGATTTTCGACACAAGCGCACAGGACGAACGCTGACAGTCTACTAACTATCTCAATGTGGCCCAAATAGTTACATTAAAAACTTCATCCCCTATTTTACCCCACTTACTACTGAAATTTTATCTCGATATTTATATGGGACCACCCCTAAACTATAATTTGTCTAATAAAAAGGAATCTTTAATGTTTAGTCTCAATTATTAGCGATTATTTAGCGAATTTATCGCATAACATACGTACAAAAAACAATACAGAAAAAAAATAAAAAAGTCATACAGTGAATTGTGAACCTCTTCCTATTAAGTCAAATAGGGTGAGTGGGGGGAAGATCGAACGGTTTTTTGATGAGATGAGCAGTGTTGTGTTTGACGTCTTGTAGAACAGTACATATTAACTTAAGCTAAAATTATATCTATAGTGAATAAAGTACAAAGAGCATATTTTTATGTCATATCGATAAATCCCTATTATATTTATTCGAAAGCAAAAAAAAATTAATTACAATGTTTTTATCGAAAGAAAAAAACAGGGGGAAAGATGAAAGGGTGGTGGGGTAAGATCGAAGTAGTTTCTAAAATCGTTCAAATTAATGTCAGACGATATTGACGGTCAGTAGGCTACAATTTTAACTGTCCTGACACTTCAGAACTGTCTATAATATCAAAATACCTTCAAATAACACAGATAACACAAACTATTTGTTTTTTATATTTCAATCTTGCCCCGCCGGGGAAAGCTTGAACTAGAGTTTCTCAAACTTTTCACTTGATTTGGGTAGGATTATACAGAAAATGAAAGATATCAATCATATAAATTTTTTTATTGTTAATGCCAAGATAATTTTAAACACAATTACGTACATGTACCTTTTACCATTTTGGTCAACAAAATATGTAGCACAAAACGTAAAAAATCAAATATTTCAAAATTAAACAGCTAACCAATTAATAAGATCTTAAAAAAATGCTACAACTAAAAACATAGAAAAACTTCTAAAAAAATATTATCTAAACATTAATAAAAAAATTGTAGTAGATCCACGTCTACAGTTCACTGTAACACATAAATGAGCAGGGTCGACCGGTGCGATACTACCCTCTCACAGAAAATCAGCGTGAAGTGTTTAGCTTCTTAGTGGCTGCCATGTTTCGTCTGGTGAGTGAGAGTTCCGTATGCGCGTTCCTTTTCCCCTTTTCTTAAGGCCACCCGAATGTTGACGTTTGCTAGGTAAACCGATGTGACGTTGCATTGTTCTAGGAGTTGTGATGTTGCATTTACTAACGAGTGTCTGGTGGTCTTTCCCCTTTTTTAAGTTCCTACTCCCATTCCTACGAATCCTGTTCCTATACCTTATGAGAAGGCAACGCACAAGTAACACTCCTGTTGTTTCTTGTGTCTATGGGCAGCAGTGAAATCACTTAGCCATCAGGTGACCCGCTTGCTCCTTTTGCCTCTCTTATAATATACAAAAATTAAAATAAATACCTTTAGATAATATTAGCTGAAATTGTGCCGCTGACAGTTTATATAATGGCTGTAACAAAACAAAACATTTTTTCAGGTACAGTTTGAGAACATGAGACCATTTTTATGACTTTTGAAAACGGGGCAAGATGGAAACTTTTATATGTTTATCTTACCCCGTCAAATATTGGCGAGTCAAGACGGAATGTTACAATAAATCCTAAAATCCAAAAAGTAGCGATATTTAGACATAGCAACATAACTACCAATTAAAAATAATAAGTATGTATACAAATAAAAAACTTGTACCTACCTGGTAAATCAAGTTACACGTCACGGGGTAAGATTAAAACACCCGACTTGCTCGCGTAATATTCACAGCGTAGATATTCCCTTATAACACACAACCGATCCCTCAAAACGACAAGTGCCGACTTAGGTGTGGTACGTAACAAAATGGCGGTCTTATGAATGTTGCCTGCATTGGATAAATTACACAAAATCTGTCTTTACTAATGCCTTTTTGTCTTACCCCGTTTTTCATCTTCCCTCCACTCACCCTACCCAAAACAATTTCTCTTCATACCTAACGATATGCTAGCATAATATTTTTCAATATAATGAATATGGATATAAAAATAAAATAGACTATATCCCGTAGACAAATAGAAGCATGTAATTTAAATAAAATAACATTAAGATAAACTCACTTATACGCATTACAATTCCGAGCAGACTACAAATTATACACGTACAAATTAAAACTGCCGAAATAAATAAAATTATATGGGTACAAGCATGACATGAAAAATTAAACTAGTGATCTCTATGCGCGTAAATTGAGTGAGTTGTTTGATAACTTCACTGACTAACGTCAATTTTCATTACTCCACTATAAGATTTTTTTTCATTATTGTACCGTATACCTTATAAAACGTAGTAGAGTAACATTGCTATATTATAGTTGCAGCACGAATAGGTCGGCTTGACCGGGGAAGAACCAAGCTCTTACAGAATACCAGTGTAAAATGTCAGCTTAGTGCTGCTGTGTTCGTTTGGTGAGTGTAGAAAATCGAAGTTCCATTTTACTGGTGACGAGACATTCTTCGCTTCGCTAGTAAACGATTAAACGTAAATCTGCAAATATGTACATTTGTGCAATAACTAATTACATTTAGTAAAATTATATATGCTTAATGAAAAAAAAATGCGATGAATACCTGGTGAAAAATTTTAAGTTAGCAAATTATTATGGGTACATTAAGAAAAGATAACAGAAAGAAAAAAATACAAAGATTTATAAAAAACTAGTAAAAAAAGTAGTGTAAACAAATAAAAAATGTGATTCCGGCCAGGATCGAACTGGCGACCTTCTGCGTGTAAAGCAGATGTGATAACCACTACACCACGGAACCAGTTATTTAAAATGTTGAAAGTTTCGATAATGTTATAGCAGGATATTATAGATCTACACCTATATTTAGATTTATTTAATTTTAATGATCTTATTTAAATTTATTTACATACATAATATACAATATTTTATTGTATACAACATTAAAATTTTAATTTTAATGATCAAACAAATATTTTTCATTTGATCTCACAAGATCAGTGGTAGAGCCATACTGCAGCTATATTATGATTTTAGCACGAATGGGTTGCTTCTACCGGGGATGGACCACGCTCTCACAGAATATCAACGTAAAATAGCAGCTTAATGTTGCTGTGTTTCGTATGTGCGATAACCGGAGACTTTTTTACTGGTAACCAGCATTATATCTTATTCCTAAGGGGTGACAACCCGTCTACATTTTGATTATTTATGAAGGATAGATGTACCTACGTGAATATAAGACACAGCATTCATTTGCCATCAATCAGGTTGACTTTATCTTGTTTGTAACCCTAATTCTATAAAAATATACAATGGGAAATATGGGGTGGGTGCTATTTTCCAAATCCAAGCAAACCGCTGGAAAACACCAAGATACAGTATATAACTAAATTAATAGTTAAAAGCCGACGGTAACCCGAGCTTACTATTAGATCGGGACGTCAAACACCTCGGTCCCCCTGTGATCATGGCTGCTTCAAAACACTCGAAGCGAAGGGAGTTAAAAATAAATTGATATTGAAAGTAATAAAACTTGATTATTGTGAAGTTTTCGTAAGTCCTCCAGGTGGACATTAGCTTCACAATTATTATGTCGCATTCAAGTTCACGGTTCATCAAACAAAACCATATTAAAAATGGATCATAAAAAACTGTTCTATTTGTGACTGCCTATTTTTAATATAATAATGCACACATTTTGAATCATCATATATAAAAATCCTGTTTGAACTCATTGCCATAGTTTACAAGCTTGGCAATATGTTGGCAACAGCATTTAACAAGTTTAGCTTAAATGAATATTTCTGATCATCTTCTACTGTTTGTATTTTCGGGTGTTTCGATAAAATTTAACTTTAATTTTATTTTAAAACTAGCTGTTCTCTGCGATTTCGCCCGCGTGTTATTTGGGGTTATAATTTTTTTGCGTGGAACCTAATTCTTTTTCTAAAAAAAGTAGCTATCTGCCAGTGAAAATCCAGTCAAAATCGGTCCAGCCGTTTCGGAGATTAGCCGGAACAAACAGACATACAGACGGACAGACAGACAGACAAAAACTTTAAGAAATTTATTTTTGTTATTAGTACCGTATATACTTTCATATGCATTTAGTAAAAAGCTGTAATTTTGACATTACAAACACACTTCAATTTTATTTATTTGTATCGATAAAACAGTTTTTATTTTAAAATGAACTGATTTTATTTGCGACTAGCTGTTCCCCGCGACTTCGCCCGCGTGTTATTTGGGGGGTTTTTTTTTTGCGCGAAACCCTAATTCTTTTTCTGAAATAAAATTAGCCTAAGTTACTCCATGTAATATAAGCTCTCTGCCAGTGCAAATCCCGTCAAAATCGGTCCAGCCCTTTCGGAGATTAGCCGGAACAAACAGACAGATAGACGGACAGACAGACAGACAGACGAACAGACAGACACAGACAGACAGACAAACAAAAGCTTTAAAAATTGTATTTTTGTTGATACTACCGTATATACTTTCATATGCATTTAGTAAAAAGCTGTAATTTTGACATTTTTTTTATATAGTATAGAATGACAAACGAGCACACAGTCCACCTGATGGTAAGTAGTTGCTGTGGCCCTTAGACATCTACATTTATCCTCGTTTGCGAATCAAAATGCAGATGCGTTGCCACCCGTGAGGACAAAGATGGAATGCCTCCTTTTCAGTAAAAAGGGTCTCCGGTTATCTACACTCACCATACGAAACACAGCAGTGTTAAGCTGCTATTTGACGCTGGTATTCTGTAAGAGAGTGGTCCTTCCCCGGTCGAACCGACCCATTCGTGCTACAACTATACTACTAACATAGCTGCACAGACACTTCAATTTTATTTATTTGTATAGATTAATGTACATATTTTGAACATACTTATTTTAAATTCTAATGTCACGTTTGATTTTCCTAGATCCCGAAAGTCACATACTTTTCTTTGACATCGAGGGTCTGATCGTGGAACTGCTGAGCGAGGAGTACTCTGCGATGAGCCCAGCCAGTCTAGAGGTTAGATATTTCTGATTTATTTCCTTATGTATATCATCATTACAGACATTCACAAGTACGTTGCTGGACGTAGGCCTCTCCTAAGAAATGTCACAAAGCACGGTCCCGAGCCACCTGCATCGATATTTAGGTATACATATATAGCAGCGAGATGTATATACATCTCGTATGCCGTAACTACAGGCAGACGCAGACAATACCAGAGATTTACACCAATACTTGAACCTTTCCTTTGGGTAGCGTAAGATAAAAAAATTTATATAGGACTGTGATTTAGGGTGTGTCGACGGTTATTTAATATTAAGTTAATTATAATGTTTCAAAATAAATTAATGCTAGTAAAGATGAAAGGGAAGAGGTTAATAATAATAATCAAAATTATTCATAATTCAGGAAATATTTTCGAAGGAATAATTTGCGTGCGATCGTTGCAGAATATTTGACCTGATAATGATACCTTTGTTGCGATTTCGCGTGCGTATCTTAATTTTTTACTTTTTTTTCCTGGATTTCGATATGATTACATTAACGACTGCGTGGTTTAGTGGCCAAAGTACCAAAATCCTAAGTAGCAGATCCTGGGTTGTGGAATCCTAGTCGAAGGAAACTTTTAGGAAAAAACACAAATTGTAGTTTTTATGGTTGGTGGTTGTCTTATTTCTTTTCACGTGTTCTTAACATTATCCTAACTTACATTCGCAATACATAACTTAGGTTAGGATATTATGAGTTTCATCAGGCACATAGAGGTTTCCAGGTTATTTCTAACACACAAGGAAAGAGTACGTCGCAACGTTTTAATTTTAAATGTGCCCGTTGAGCCTGCATGTTACTGCGTAGTCTGACTTACTCTGAAATCGCTTCCGATAGTAAGCGAGAGTTGTTGGCAGTTTGCTAGTTAATTCTCTTATGATACTAGTTCTTTACTTTTGTAGAAAGTGCTTTGTAAAGGGCAATTTAAACATCTTTTGACTTTGACTAGCTATTACTTTTTATATTTATAATATTTTTTTTGTGTGCCCCCCAGGCTGCCGGGCTGATAACCAGCGAATATATGAAAGTGGCAGCGCTAACCCAATCAGCCAGTCCGGATGCAGCGAAACGTATATCCGGTAAGTGTTTTTGCGTAGTTAGTTAATACGCGAGACATGGTCGTATAGTGGTCGCATATTACAAATAAAATTATCTTTGTCATGCAATTGGTACAGATTATTTTGTTGGCACCATTGGACGTTGACTCGAAATGGTGATAGGAGATATTTATGTTTCATAAATTTAAGTTTTTGCTAGAGTAAATTTGGAAAAATGGTTTATGTGCGTATTTGAAACTTTAACGTAAACTGCAATTAATGTTCCCCTAAAACGTTTCTAAACCTAAATGTTGTTAATTATATATGCCCTTCATGTCACTTTGAGAATATGGTGCTGATACCAGTTTTGCAAAACACTTTCAATAAGATAACTCGTATCACTCTATACCTATATTGCTATATTTGTAGGCTTGTTTTGACAACATGTATGTTTCTTAATCTCTTTTAATCAATGTAGGCTACACATGAATCAACTATTTACAATTTAACATGAGTTTAATTTCTTCGAACACGCTTACCGAAACGGATAGATTTCTTCGGACGTGTGAAAGATAAAGCCGGTGATATGGAGCGAATCTTGAAAGAAAAGGACAAGCACGGTTTGTATTTATCTAACGATGATAACTATTATTTTTTTATTTTGCGTACGTTTTTGGAATTAAATGAAGTTGAAAAGTGACAAACGAACTTGCAGTTCACCTGATGGTAAGTAGTTATTGCAGTCCATGGAAACCTGTAGCCGACTTCAAACAAATAAGGCATGAGATGCGTTGTCACCTCCAAAGACTAAGATGGAATATCTCTCAGTTTGTTATCATGCTCTCTTTTACTGTTAACGCGCTGCTGTTTGACGGCAGGAATAGGTAAAGTGGGTGGTACTTACTCAGTGGAGTAATTATGTCTAAACACTTTTTTATAATCAAATTATCATTACAGTGATGGATTAAACGGGGATAGAATCCCGTAGGGGATAGAATAGGGGAGTTAAGCTGTGTCTATATTTCTTTTTATAAATGAAAATAAGAACCGATAACGGTTGGATGATGATGTTGACTTGCATGTCCATTTTTTTGACCACGGCGACTAGTTCAAAATAATCGAAGCTTATAGTGCCACAAGTGTGTGTAATGCACGCACTAACACAGCGATACTTATCACCGCTCTGGTCTAACAATGGTCGATGTAATACGATTGGAGAACTTTAGTTTGACTTAAATAGAGAATTTGTGTTGTGGGCGTAGCGCAAGAGAATCCAAAATCCCATTTTGTTACGTGGGAAATGCCAGAAAGATCTTATGGCTTCCGATAGGCGATATATCCATCCACCATCTCGTTAACGCCAGACGTAAAATACCCACGACTTCAACGGATAGCAGCGTCAATGGTGCGAGATATCTGATACTACGATTGTCAATCCATGTACTATGATTGACGGCTCCGTGGCGCACTGGCTTAGCAATGAGTTGTTGCACTGGAGGCCGCGTGTTCGAATCCCACACGGAACAAGTATTTGTATAGCCTACAAATAATTGTTTCGGGTCTGGATGTTTGTCCTCGTGCAATTTATGTTTGTAAACTGTCTCCACGATACAGGCGAAAATCATAGTGTGGGGTTAACGTTTTTTTTAAATATAAGAAAAGAAAAAGACAAATCCTCAATACAATTTGGAAGGCAGTGTAGTGGCGTCGTGAGGAAATCTAACATTATGTCATGCCGTGGGTGTCGTAAGAGGCGACTTACACAGGAGATGTGCAGCAGTATCTTCCCGAAAACACTACAAAATACCAAAGAACTGCGGTTGTCAACTGGCCTACCAAGCGTGATAACTATGGCGGGTATCCCGTGAGGCAATCTATGGGGAAGGCCTATGTCGAGCAGTGGTTTTTCGATAGGCTGTGACGAATGAATGAATAAAACAAGGAGACCGATGTTCACATCGGTCTCCCTCCTCTGCAGAGGCCTTTAATGGGTTGTTGATGAAGAAGAAGTCGAGGCTTATGTTGCATACTGTTTTATGATATAGTAATGATAATGTCGCTTTAGATGCTCACTATCGATGATGTCATATTAATTAATTTCGAGTACAAAAAGAAAATCCAAAGAGTGTGTACGTAGCCTTTGTTCGAACGTTTTAACGTTACGAAATCCTCGTGGAAACCTTTTAGTTTGAGTGCAACAGGGAGGTTATATAGGACTCTTGTTGGTTTTCGGTATTCATGCTTACTTACTTAACGTTGCCTGTTGATCAGCGTTGCATCGTGTCATGCAACACTGTCATGGACGGAGACAGTCACAACACAATTAAATTCAAAATAAACAATATGTGTTTTTGCACGAATTTTGACTAAGCCTGGGATCTGAACCTTGGATCTAGGATGTACCAACCAATTATCCTTATCGTTTGGTCGTAATCGTCTGTGATAGTTGTAGGGTATTAGGCTTACAGTTGAATCTACTTAATCACTTGTTTAGAGGGAAACTAACCAGAAGATGCGTAACAGCGTCAAAGTCAAAGTCATAATCTTTATTTGCAGAATAAAATGTTTAGGCAATACAGGTATTTAGTATAAGAGTAAGTCTCAATAACATTCTACCGGGAGTTGTACCGGTGTGCAAATATATCTTAATATAATCAAATTTAATTGTACATAATGTCTAAATAAATAAATTATATAATACATTATGAGTAAATAACATTTTAATAATAACCACAAAAAGAAACTGCGGTCTTTTTAATAACAACCAGAAAAAGAAACTGCGGTCTTTTTAATAATAACCACAAAAAGAAACTGCGGTCTTTTTAATAACAACCAGAAAAAGAAACTGCGGTCTTTTTAATAACAACCAGAAAAAGAAACTGCGGTCTTTGTAATAACGACCAGAAAAATAAACTGCGGTCTTTTTAATAACAACCAGAAAAAGAAACTGCGGTCTTTTTAATAACAACCAGAAAAAGAAACTGCGGTCTTTGTAATAACGACCAGAAAAATAAACTGCGGTCTTTTTAATAACAACCAGAAAAAGGAACTGCGGTCTTTTTAATAACAACCAGAAAAAGGAACTGCGGTCTTTTTAATAACAACCAGAAAAAGGAACTGTGGTCTTTTTAATAACAACCAGAAAAAGAAACTGCGGTCTTTTTAATAACTACCAGACAAAGAAACTGCGGTCTTTTTAATAACAACCAGAAAAAGAAACTGCGGTCTTTTTAATAACAACCAGAAAAAGAAACTTCGGTATTTTTAATAACAACCAGAAAAAGAAACTACGGTTTTTTAATAACAACCAGAAAAAGAAACTGCGGTCTTTTTAATAACAACCAGAAAAATAAACTGCGGTATTTTTAATAACAACCAGAAAAAGAAACTACGGTTTTTTAATAACAACCAGAAAAAGAAACTACGGTTTTTTAATAACAACCAGAAAAAGAAACTGCCGTTGTCAGTCCCGCCTGCCAAGCGTAGCAATTATGGAAAATTACCTGATGAGAAATTCTATGGGGAGGCCTATGTTCTGCAGTGGACTTCGATTGGCTTAATGAATGGATGAATTAATCACTTGTTAATTTTTTCCAAATGTCTTTCTGCAACAATGAGAACCTGTGTTGTTTGAATTTGTTTTTTGTTCTCTTCTATTAAATGTATGCGCTTTCTGAAATGACTAACTTTGGGTTCGGAGCCTGCGGTAGACATATACGATTTATGTTATGGATTTTGGCAGCTCTTGCTTGAATCGCATGTTGCTTTTCTTGGAAAGAAAGATATGTAGATGAGATGATCACGTCGTCTGCAGGTTACCGTTTATTGCATGTCTTGAACAGGAATCCTTGCCAAGATGAAGGAGGGCGCGGAGACAATGCAGACAAAGCTGCAGGCCAAGGCCGAGCAGCTGAAGGGCAACGTAGAACACAAAGGTAAGTGTTTGGTATAAGGCAAATTGAAGCGAATGTTTGCTATGTGTTTGCATGGAAAAAAATATTTTAACAATTATTATTAGTAGTCGGATAATAGGGCGCTTATTTACCTAAAGTTTACATTTTTTAGCATTAAAGATTAATATAGACATGAACTTCTAAATCAAACTTATTTAATTGAATCCCGCGACCGCGGGATTGACAACATTTCGTAAATATAATAAACTAACATTAATTACAAGACTAAGAATATTACTTGAAATCATGGATGTTGTGCAAGAGAGTCAGTGATATATATATTACTATATACAAACAACAACATATCTAGACGAACCGGCAGAGATGACGTCATTGTGAACGGGGGATGAAGTAGGGAGCGGGCCTGGGGAATGTGGAGAGATTTCTTCCCAGTGTTCACCAGTAGGGTCCATGATTGTCGTTTGTTTGAAGATTGGCGGATATAGCAACTTTTTTTCCCAATGTCCGCCAGTAGGGAACAGCGAGAATAGACGAACAAGTTCTCGTATAAATTTTCTTTGTAAATTGTTTGACTATAATGAAATTAAAAAAATCTTTAAGTAATTAAAAATTTTACGTCGTAGAGCCATGCTGCAGCTATATTAGTAGTATAGTTGTAGAACGAATGGGTCGGCCCGACCGGGGAAGGACCACGCTCTCACAGATTACCAACGTAAAATAGCAGCTTAACACTGCTGTGTTTCGTATGATGAGTGTAGACAACCGGAGACCCTTTTTACTGGAAAAAAGGCATTCCATCTTAGTCCTCACGGGTGACAACGCATCTGCATTTTTATTTCTTTATTGAGGATAGATGTAGATCTCTATGGGTTACAACAACCACTTACCATCAGGTGGACTGTGTGCTCGTGTGCCACCCTATCCTATAAAAAAAAAGTTTGAAAGAATTCAATGAAATATCAAATTTACAATTAGTCCTATGAAATATTTATTCGTAGGTAACATTTTTATTAATCTCAGGACATTCAAGCAGTCCCGCATGCAGGATTCAAAAAGGCATGTCCATAATAATCTTTCTTTAATGCTAAAAAATTTAAACTTTAGGTAAATAAGCGCCCGATTATCCGACCATGAATTATTATACATTTACTAGATCCCCAACTTAGAATCAGTGAAACTATCCATCGAACATGTTATAGAATACTTCGACGCAGCAGTTTTAGTGATATTTTTCTCATTTTTTGCCTATGGTTACCATATTTAGGCAGTGTTTAAGGAGATGTTCTAGTTGTTGTAAGTTTTGTGAACTTCTACTAATATTTTTTTTCTATCTCCTAACCTCTATCTCATAAACCCATTAAAACGTTAATATTGCACATAAAAACAAAATCTTATTATAAAAATTGAACATATTATGTAAAAGTGATATGTGAAGACAGCACCGAATTAACGCGATAAAAAATCACGACACTATGTTACTATTTAAAGGTGTACCTTGCAGTGTCACCGTGTAAAACCTATATCAAGTAAAAAGTATTTTACATGTCTTATAAATTAGATTTTATTTCTCTTACGAGAAAAAAAAATAAGCAAACTTGCGGCCGCTCCGGTCGGTATCCGCCGAGACATCTTTGAGATTGTACGTACGTTAATTTTTCTAAAAGTCTCCCCGCTTCAGTAACTACACGGACTAAGGTGTTTCAACGTGGTACAGCTGTGCTGCAGCTTTATTACGGTTGTAGCACGAATGGTTCTGGTTCTGGTGCCCTGGCCTTCTCGTCTGGGGAATGATCACACTCTCACAGAATAACAGCGTGAAATAGCAGCTTTATGCTGCTTTGTTTCGTATGGTTAGTGTAGAAGCGACGACGAAAACAACGATGCCATCTTAGTCCTCGGGGATGACAACGCATTTACATATTAATTCTTAATCGAGAATAGATGTGGGTGTCTAAGGGCCACAGCATCCGCTTCCCATCTGGTGGACTGTGTGCTCGTTTGTCACTCTTATTCTGTTAAAATTAACTTTGCTCGACGATCGCGAACGGTAAGGTAAAGTTATATACCTACACCACTTACTTCCTAAAAGATGGCCTTCAATAAATTTAAGGAATGCAATTATGCAGTAAATGTAGTGGAACGAAATATCCGGTTTTTGTTGTAACATACAAGTTTTGTGTATCACAACGTTGAAAAAGAGTCTTAATCGAATATATCGCGACATCGAAAAATAAGAAATTAACTTACTAAAATTATAACTTACTTCAACGAACGAAAGCTTAAATGAAACCGTTTGGCTCAGGCGCTTTATACCTCACCTATAACGAGGTAGATTAAATACACGTATTTGAAGATTTAGAAATGTTGAATTAGAGTCCAGAACCTACCTACCTGCAACGCAAATTTTATTCTAAAGCGAAGAATCATCATTATCATCACCATTGCAGCCTATCAAAATGAAGTAAAAATAAACTCTAGGCGTAGTCTGGTTTGGCTCACCTTGCCAGTTAAATGCTAACCGGGCTATTTTTGGATATCTTTCTCTCGAATGAAACTATCTTGTTTACTCTACAATAATGTCACGGCTGATATTATTTTTTAGTTAACCGATCAATTCATTATAAAATTTTTAATTATATCTACAACGTTTAGCGCCTTTATATCTTTTCCCTAAGAATTACCTTTGGTTGTCTTAATTTTAAGGCTCGTAAAACATACAATCACCCTGATAATAATTAAAAATTAAAAATGTTGTACAGTCGACTTCAATATAAATTATCAAGAATAACCCAAAAACTATTGGTCTGACCTTGATTAAATTCATATGGGACCACATGTGAAGTATCAAATAAAAAAAAGAATCATGGAATACGATTCACCCATTAAAAAGTTATGAGGTAACACACATAAAAAAACATACAGTCGAATTGAGTACCGTCTCCTTTTTGAAGTCGGCAGAAAAGCAAGTATGATCAGTTATGGTGCTTATGAATTTCTTTATCAGTATAGGACATAATTGTGTTGGTTCTTATTTTGGATGTTCCCGTCTATTTTTATTAACTGACTTCAAAGAAATAGAGACTGAAGTCATCAATTCAACGTTTGTTAGTTATGCGGTTAGCAATTTTTTTTTAATTTACTAATAGAGTACACTTCTAAAGGGGTCGCATATGAATTGCATCAAGATCGTTTAGATTCGTTATTTATGGAAGACTTGTGAAGATCTTCGTTTCGCAATGAAGAGCAATGCGGTGTGAATTTCCTCCATGATCTCTTAAGAATTGATCGAGAGGCCTTTGCCTAACTGTGGAGCGTATAAAGACATAATGACATTTATTCCGACACTTCATATTACAATGACAAATTAATAAACAAAATTAATACGAATAAGAATAAAATAATAATAATAAAAAAATTAAAACACAAGAAAATGAATAAACAAAAGAAATAGAGGATATAACAACAATTTATGACTTAATAATCGAAACAGATGAAGTGGCGGAAAGGACCGCCTCAGCATAAGCCGCGGGATAGCGACGCTGATTTTCAGTCGGCCCCATACGGTCCTACGTATGTAGGCTGCGTGTTTTTATTTATTATAAACGCATACAATCTCAGCTCCTGGTAAGCGATGATGAAGCTCTAGCTGGTAAATCGAACTGCAATAGCCTAATATTAATATAGATTTGTTTTATTTCAAACGTCAACGCGGTAATGACAGACATAAATAAGGGCCTTGGAAAGATTAAAGTTTCAAGTAATATAATATAACATAAACGCTCACGGCTGTTACGCGGAGGGGTAGGCAGAGACTACGTAAGTACTTCAATTTGCCGCGATCGTGATACACCTCTCCCGCTTCTTTCACATCCATATAAATATTAGGTACCTACTATACATTTTTGGTGAAGTTTTGTTAGCGGTGCCGAACGATTTATAGGCCAGTATCTAGTTGTAGTCTATAATGCAAAAAAAAAAAAATTCAAATGAGATAGCATCTTTATCTTGATTCTTCGAATTAATTTGTTTATGACCATTTATTGTCGAGTGGACTATTAGTTTGAAGGACCTACTCTTCGTAACATAAAATAGCTTTGCGAAAGTATTGAACATGCCTTCAAATCGAAATGATGTAGATTTATAACTGCGCTTAAAAAAATACAGGATTGCTTACTTATTTATTTATACTTAACTGCAAACACCTTTATCTAGTAGTTACAGAAGTAGTAAAATTAAAAATGTTGTACAACCGACTTCAATATAAATTATTAAAGATAACTCAAAAGCTATTGGTCAGACCTTGATCAAATTTATATGGGACCACATGAGAGGCACCAGCTTCAAATAAAAAAAAGAGTCATCGAAATCGGTTCACCTAGAAAAAAGTTAGGTTGCTGAACTAATGAGGTTTCTCTGCTATCCTTACTGTGACGTGTGGTGGTGGGTGAGGAAGCGCCGTGGGTGCCCAGTGCAACGACGTGTATAGGTCGATCGTGTTGTACTAGCATAAAGTTGAATATTGAAATCATTATCGGTTATGACTTATGATAAATGCTTAATCACGGTCAGCTCGGTGACTAGTTACAGTCTTGACATATTATAGTCTTGATTTAATGAAGTATATAAAGACATGCTTCCTCATTGTTTTCTGTGAAGTCGTGTAAATGTTGACTTATGTGCCTCTTATTAAATGTTGAAAAATATAAATATGTACTTTTATTTTTTAGCACTTAAATTTTAACTGGCTGGCCAGGCAGCATAAGTGCTTCTTTCGTAACTTCCTTTCAACATATTATGTGCTTCCCGAGAAATTGTGCAATTAGATCACCAGTTTCCTTGCTGATTGGAGCATAGATATAGGCCTTGATTAATGCTGGTGTTCTACAAGGCTGCATGCTATCATCTACTCTGTTCCTTCTGCATATCAGTTATATGTTGCAAACCAGTAGCATTCATTGCTATGGGACGACAGCAGCACAGGTGATTACACCCTTTTTACACCGGCCGATCCCGATAAATATTGACTTATCGGGATCAC